TGATGGGTAGTCCTGTGGAGCTGCGGTCGGTGTCCCCCCTAGTTATTTAGTTTTAACAAGCAATATAAAATCATTTTGTGCCTACTAAGGAAGCAACCTTGCAGGATGGGTGGGAAACTGGAGACAACGGTGGAGCAAAGGTCACACTGGTGGTGGAATTGCTTTTGGAACATTGAATGCCCAAAACAACTTTGTAAACCACAGTATTTAAATAAAGTTAGAAAAAAACCCATCTGGAAACCAAACAACGTGCTGACAAATAACTAATGGACCATAGAGGAAATATAAGAATAAATGAAAAGATTTCTCTGAACAAGTGAGAATGAAGAAGTAAACTATCAGAACCTATGACACTCTTATAAGGGGAGTACTAAAGGGGAAGTACATAGCAATACAGGCCCACACGAGGAAAAAAGAAAAAGCCTTTGTCAATGACCTAACCATACTTCTGGAAAAACTAGGAAAAAAACCAAAAAACTAGTTTTGAAGTCAGTAGAAAAAAATATTGTAAGAATTGAATCAGAAATTAATAATACAAAATTGAGAAAAACCACACAAAGGGCAAACAAACAAAAAAACAACCCAGGAGCTGATTTTTTTTCAGGAGCTGATTTTTTTGAAAGAATAAAAAAAGAAAATTGAAAAATGATTGGTTACACTAATGCAAAAAAAGAGAGAGAGAAAGCTCAAATAAATCAGATGAAGGTTGTGATGGCAGAAATCACAAAATACTTCAGAAGTACAAAATATCATAAGAGGATATTACAAATAACTCTGTGCCACCATAGAGTGGCAACCTGGAAAATCTATTTAATGGATGAAATCTTGGAGAAATAGAACCTTCCAAGGCTGAATCAGGAGGAAGTAAAAAGCCTAAACAGTCAAATTTCAGGAAAGGAAGTTGAAACTATGATTAAAATTTTCCTAAGAATAAAAGTCCAGATCCAAATGGTTTCACTAATGAGTTTTACCAAACCTTCAGGGAAGTACTAGCCATACTCCTCAGGCTCCTTCAAAACATTGACGATAAAGGAGTCCTTCTGAACAGCTTTTATAAGACCAGCATCACCTTACTACTGAAAACAGATTTTAATAAAGGGATTACAGAACTATATTGAAGATAAACATTAATGCAAAATTCCTAAAATTTGCAAATCAAATAACATATCAAAATGATTATACACCATCCTCTAGTAGGATTCATACCAGAGATGGAAGAATATTTCAATAGATGCAAATAATTTATTTGCATGTCAATAAATGAAAAGTTAAAAACCAAACGATCATATCAATTGATCCTGAAAAAACTTGAAAAAAAACAACTTAGCATTTATGATAAAAACAACTCTCAATAAAATTGGGCTACACGGAACATTACTCAACATCGTAATTACTATTAAAGACAAACCCACAGGAAACATAGTACTAAATGGTAAGTACCTGAAAACCTTTACCCTGAGATAACGTGAGGATTTCCACTTTCACAACTGCTATTTATTACAGTCTTGGAAGTTCTAGCCACAACTAGGCAAAAAAAAAGAAACAAAAGGGATCTAATTTGGGTAAGAAGAAGCCAAGTTATCACTCTTTGCAAATGACAGGATAATATACACAGAGACTCTAAAAGGTTCACTAAAAACCCCTAGAAAGAATAGGCCAGTATAGGAAAGTAGCAGGCCATAGAATTATGGCCCGCAGAAATCTGAAACATTTCTATATACGAGCAATGAACTATAAGAGATAGAGACTAGAAAGTCTATTACGTCTAAAATAGTGCCTGAATACATCAAATAAATATAAAAATCAACAAAACAAAAGATGTGAAAGACTTATACCAGGAAAACTATAAATCACTTATGAAAGAAACTGAAGGGGACAACAAAAAATGGAAAAGTTTTTATGTTCATGAACTGGAATAATTAATATTGCCAAAATGTGTACTCAAAGAACTATATAAATTTAATGCAATTACCAGCAAAATCCTGAATATACTCTAGAAGGAATTAGGATGAACAAACACTACTACAATCTACACGGTAACATAAAACCCCAAGAACAGTTAAAGCAGTCTTAAAAAAAAAGAATTTTGAAGGAATTCACACTCCCTGACTTTAAACTATACTTCAATAAAGTAACCAACACAATATGTCATTGAAATAAGGATAGGCTAAGATCCCAGTGATAAATTCTCACTTATATGGACAAAAATACATGAAAAAGAAGTTCATAAAGTATAACAAGGAAAACCTCTTCATCAAAAGGTAAAACAAAAAAAATTAGACATATATTTCACACCACACGCAAAACTTTAAAGTGGATCAAAGACTTAGAAATTAGACTGGAAAACGTCAAGGAAATACATCAAAAAAAAACATAGACAAGGGTATCTAGGATTTGAACATTATTGAATGGGTTTTCAATAACCCAATTACATAGGTAAAGATAACAAAAATAAAATTAAGTGTAACAAAAAAAAGTCAAAAACTTGGTAACAAAAAAAAAGTCAAAAACTTTCTACATAAAAAAATAATTTCAGGTTTTCGTGATCATGGTATCTCACCTGCTAGGTAAGTATTTGATCAGTGTATAATGGAAACCCAAGCACAAAATTTGTAAGTCTACAACTGTACCTCATGGTATCTCACTAATAAAAATTTAAAAAAATAATTTCAGGCTAAAAATAAAAAGGCTTCCAACTTACTGGTAGACAATATTAGCACACAGTAATTAAGATAAAGGAATAATATTCAAAATCTATAAAGTATTCACAAAAACCCAACAGCAGTCAACAATAAAAATACTCCTATCAAAAATTGGAGAAATGATGAACAGATATTTCCATGAATTCATATGGATGTCAAATAAACATATAAACAGGTGTTCACTATCACTTAGTGTCCGGGCAATACAAATGAAGAATGGACCCTCATTCACTGTTTGTAGGAATATCATCTGGTCTAGCCTCTATGAAAAACAATATAGAAATTTCTCAAAAAAGTAAAATTGAAGTTTCCATATGACCTGCTTTGCAGTTGGTCCCATTTCTAATTATCTCCCCCAAGCCACAAAAACTTTAATTCAAAAATATAGATACATATCTATGCTCAATATAGCTCCTTGTACAATTTTCAGCATATGGAAGCAACCTAAATAGCCAAGGACAGATAAAGTAGTTGAATCTATACACAATGGGATACTATCCATCATAATAAAAAATAAAGGCATGTTCACAGCAAATTGGATGTGTGAAGTGGCGATATCATGATGAGCAAAATAAGTCAGAGGAAGGACAAATACAAAAATGATCTCACTTTGAAGTATACAGAGAAACAAAGGGTGTGAACAATATCTATTGCTAATAAACCTTGAATACTGGAATACAAACCTAAGAGTGTCAGATTTGTTGGGATGAGGCCAGGAGAGACAATGCATATAACGTGACTGGAAACACAAGAACATAGGTGGAGAGTCTCAAGCAAACTGATAGTTCTAAGAGAGTAACAATTTGCACTGAAATCATAAGTGTAAATCAGCAAATAATGTGGAGAAGAATGAGAGGAAAAGAAAGTCTCCATTGTGAGACTTCTTGTTACTGTTTTTGTCATATCGAATATGCTACAGGGAGCTTGCCAGGCTCTGTCATGCAGGTGGGATACTCTCAGTAGCTTGCCGGGCTCTCCAAGAGGGAGGAAGGAATCGAACCCAGGTCGGCCGCATGCATGGCAAATGCCCTACCTGCTGTGCTATCGCTCCAGCCCGTCTTTTACCTAAACTATAATAATAACTAAATAAAGAAAATAATATTTTTACAATTTTTTGGTTTTTTTTTTGCTTTTTGGGTCACATCCGGCAATGCACAGGCGTTATTCCTGGTTCTGCACTCAGGAATTACTCCTGGCGGTGCTCAGGGGACCAGATGGTATGCTGGGAATCGAACTCAGGTCGGCCACGTACAAGGCAAACGCCCTAGCCGCTGTGCTATTTCTCCAGCCCCAGGAAATAATATTTTTAAAATAATTATTTTCTCATTTTCTTGGTATGGATTTTTATAGTGAACAACAGGATCCAACTTTTTAAAGGATATAGCATATGTAATGAAGCCCTTGTCAGAAAGCTTACATATGAACATTCAGCTCTTCACACACTACACAATCACAGTTTAAGTTCTAATTTCAAATAAAAACCTGTAAGTTTTTATAAGATGTACATTTTGATCAAAATATATTGTGCATCATGAATGTTCATTCATCAGACATTTATTGGGTGTCTAAATGAGTCAGATACTTGAGTCCAGCTAAGTAGAGAACAGAGAACACTTCTTTCCACTAAACCAATTCCAGAAATCCTGGGGGTGTTCAGATGGTTTCCTAACGCAATATTTTAAAGCAGATGTTCCTAGAATTGGCAGTCTCATCAAATTCTCCTTTCCAATAACAACAAAGTCTCCAGTGGAGACGTTACTGGGCCCGCTCGAGCAAATCGACGATCAACGGGAGGGCCTTTACCTTTAACTTTATCTTTTTAATATTCCCTATGTTTCTGGACACCTTTACTGCCCTTTGTTCCAATCACTTGGTGACCAGCCTTACTGACTCAGCCTATATGCCCCTTCCTGGTGAAAGGAAGAAACAAGATGTACAGCCCATTCGTAAAATTTATTTAGGTCAAACTCTTCACTGATCAGAGAAACAGTCATATAAGCCTTGAGGTTACTTGTCTGGAAAGTCTGTGCGCCACATAATCCCATAATCAAACCTATTCTGGCTTTTGACTTACTAATCGAGTAAGCAATCCATAAGAATTGAGTGGCCCCAGTTACCAAGAATATTTATTTTTGCCGATGTTTTCTTCTAGGATAACTAGAAACATGTTCTAAGTGAGCACTCTCTTGGAACTCAACTATAAGTGCAAAGTACCATTCTAGTCCCTTTCTTCATTATTAAGACACAATTCCTGCACATTCAAGATAGTTAGAAGAGGCAATTCCTGCCTTACAGTACCTGACCAGGATCTTGTCCCTCTGGATATGGATTCTTCTTGAAGAGCATGAGCTGGCTGATAAAGAATGAACTCTCCATTTCTGTTGCAGAAGGACAATGAGTAGACTTGTCTGCAGGTACATGCACCTGGATGGAACCCAGGCTCTGCGAAGGGCTCTGAAATTCATGATGAAGCAGCACATGGAATTTCACCTGCTTGGTGCTTATGTAGAGATCACTTCCCTTGTTCAAACAGAGGCAATCCTGAAATAACCAAGGATCACTGAACATTCACAGTGCCAAACCAAAAGCAGAGGGGAGGTAGAAAAACTCAAAAGGTAGCTAGTTTTCCACTAGTTTGGATTCATTTGCTTAAGCGAACTTTCTTATAATATGAAAGCTTAATATACAAACTGTTACCATTTTCATGATGTATTTTTTATGGCTTATTATCATTTTCTGACAATTGCTCTGCATCTATGTGTATCTTAGTCCAACCTAAGAGGGTTGGAATACCTTTGTTATTTGCATTAGCACTAGACTGAAAATTTGAGTTCAGTATCTTAGAGGTTATTGCAGAGTAGTAAGTGTGAAGAAATTGATTCTAAATATATTTATTACTATTAATTGTCATGTATTAATTTATTACTATTAAAATCATTAAATCAGAAAGTATTTATTTGCTTATAATTTCAGAAACAATAGCATTTATTAAATAAATCAGTAGATCTAAGTGAGGGGGAGAATGATATGTGGCAAGAGAAAAAAAACCTGCTTTTACTAATTCTTGAAGTCGTGATGAATACTAATAAGTTGACCAAACAAACAAACCAACCAACCTTTATGAAACTCCCACAGTTATTGCAACAGAAATAAAACAAAACTTTAGGATTTTTTAGAGTAACAGCTAAAATACAATTATCATGTATTTTCATAATAAATAATTATAAGTCATATTATTTTATAAATGGATTATATTAATACTATATGAAATTATATTGTTAATATAATAATTTATTATTAATAATAATTGACTGTGGTTTGCCTTCAAAAACAGGCTACTTTTTGGCAATAAATAATTAATAAAATTATAATCTATTTAAATTTGTGGTTTATAAATAATCTGTTGTATTATCTGGGTTGCTTTTTAACACACTAGAAATAATTTACATTACTCACTTCAACAACAGAGTTGTCCTGAGAAATGACATTTCTCAGGAAAACACAGACAAAGTGAAAATTTATCAATATAATAAAATGATGGAACAGAAGTCAAATTTCATAAGAAATACAATATTCTCATTAACGACTAAAAATTCAAAATGAAAAATTTCCAAGTGCCAAATTTCCAACTGGAATAAGTATAGTACTTCAGAAACCAATTTCATTTTTGTCTCAAGAAGCAGTTACAAATACAGGTTAATATTGTAGATAAGGGGAACAGTTATATTGCTATAATGAGGAACAACGATGACTTACTAACAATAAATCTGAGATGATCTTATTTCCTTCTTCTCGTAAAGAGTTAACCCTTCTTGATTTTTCCTCCATAGATACTTCCAAAACTTCTGTTACAAGAAGGATGAGTTCACTCATAGATCTTTTGTCAATCGCAAACCTCGCTGAGTATTGGTTTTGTGTGAGCAGCATCCGGCTGTATTTGAGGATGTGAACTGCAGTCTTAAAACTTAACTATATGAAAAGAAAATATCTAAATAAAATGTTGCATGATACAGATGCATATACTTAAGACAGATACTGGAACTTCTGCAAACTGCTCTTATCCCTCAACTCAGACATTCTGTCCTCAAACGTACAGACCCACCCACTATTCCCAAATAAATGGGCTTTTTCTAATACAAAGTTCTCTCCTTACAATGACTTGCCCTATCTTTACTAGAAAAATTGCACTTCTCTCCCTCCATATATATATATAGTTACAATAAATGTTTTCATCTATGTTTATGCATACATAGTTACTGTCTCTCCACCACCACCACAACACTCAACCCACTCTTCCAGTGTCACTTTCAGACTATCCCGTCTTTTCTTCCCTCCCTCCTTCCCACCAATGACAAGGTTATTGTTATTGGTAACTTCTGCTTTGTATTCAAAGTTCAAGAGGTTATTGTTATTACATATGATCTGCTCCTTTGCTTTTTTAAAAATCATATATGTGTGTGATCAACCTGTTTTTGTGCTTTTCCTGCATTATTTTACTTAACACGATCCCCTCTAGCTCTATTCAAGTTGTAGGAAAAGACAAGATTTGCTCTTCTAGCTGAGTTGTATCTGCTTGTATATACTACAACTTCTTTATCTACTCATTTTTCACCAGACGTTGGACATTTGATTGTTCCCATATCTTGGTGTTTGTGGGTAGCACTTCAAACAACATAGGTGTTTGTTGAGTTACAGTGTTTAAGTTAATGTATCTGTGTACTAGTAGAACCAAGGAGTTTGTAATCGCTGTGTTATCATATAGTAGTCATATTATAAATTTTTAGAGGCTTTCTTATTGTTTTCCATAAAGGGTGCAGGAGAAATTCACACAAATAGTAAATACATGTTCAATTTTTCACCTTCCCACCAACACTTGCTGTTCTGTTTTTTTTCCCCAATATAGGCTTTTCTCAGGTGATGAGATTGTATCTTGTTGCTGTTTTAATTTGTGTTTCCCTGATAACAATTAATGGTGAACATGTCTTCATATTGTATTGTTGGTTTTGCAAGTGTGTATATGTTTTAGACATTAATCCAATGTCAGATCCATGATGTGCAAATATTTTCTCCTATTCAACTGGCTATCTTTTCATTTTTACCCATTTTAATTAACTTTTTAATATGATGTGAGCTAACTTTTTTGTGTTTGGCTTTTTCTCACTATCCTTCAACCACTCCACTAATTCCATTAGCTCCTTTTTTTAATCATTTTTTTATTAGTGAAACACCATGAGGTACAGTTATAGATTTATAAATTTTTGTGCTTGGGTTTCAGTTATACAATGATCAAGTACCCATCCCTCCACCAGTGCCCATCCTCCCCCACCACGGGTCCCAGCATCCCTCCCACCCCTCATCCCCCCCCCCCCCCCCCGTCCCACCCTGCTGCTGTGGCAGGGCATTCCCCCTTGTTCTCTCTCTCTTCTTTTGGGTACTGTGTTTTGCAAGAGAGGCATTGAGTGGCAATTATGTTTGGTCTATAGACTACTTTTAGCATGTCTCTCCCACCCTGGGAGGGTCTTCACAACACCCTTTATTTGGTGCTCTCTTCTCTATCTGAGCTTCCTTTTCACCTAGCACATGTGGCTAGCCTTCAAGTCATGGAGCAAAATTCATGGTACTAATCTCAGCCATTCCTGGGTGTTAGTCTCCCATTTTGTTGCTTTATGTTCCCCAGATGAATGCAGTCTTTCTGTGTCTATCCCACTCTTTCTGACTCATTTCGCTTAACATGATACTTTCTATGTAGTACCACTTGTATGTAAATTTCATAACTTCATCTTTTCTAACAGCTACATAGTACTCCATTGTGTAAATGTACCAGAGTTTCTTTAACTAGTCATCTGTTCTTGGGCACTCAGGTTTTTTCCAGATTCTGGCTATTGTAAAGAGTGCTGCAATGAACAAACAATTGCAGATGTCACTTCGACTATACCTTTTTGCCTCTCTGGGATATATCCCCAGGAGTGTTATAGCTGGGTCAAATGGGAGATCAAATTCTAATTTTTTGAGAATCGTCCATACTGTTTTCCAAAAGGATTGGACCAGCCGGCATTCCCACCAGCAGTGAAGGAGGGTCCCTTTCTCACCACATCCATGCCAGCACCTGTTGCATTATCTCCTTTTTAATCAAGTGTCTGGCCACACACCTACACATGTCTTTCTGGGCTCTCAATTCTATTCCATTGGTCTGAATATGTACATTTATTCTAGTACCACATTGTTCTGATTACTATATCTATATAGTACATTTTAAAGTCAAGGACTGCCATGCTTTTCATATTTTTTCCCTCAGTGTTTGTTCTGTATATCTAAAGAATATCATTGGAATTTTGACAGAGATTACATGAAATGAGTATAATTCTTAGGGTAATATGGTCATTTTAATAATGCTAATTCTTCTGTGCTGTGAGTGAGGCATTATTTCATTTCTGTGTCCTCTTCTTTTTGTTTTGATGTGTGGGGCTATACACAAATAGCACTCAGGACTTCTGTTTCCATACTCAGGGATAACTTCTAGCATGGTCAGGGGACCATAGGTTGTGCTAGTGACCAAACTTGGCTCTGATGAATGCAAGGCAAGGACTGTATCCCCTCTCTCTCTCTCTCTCTCTCTCTCTCTCTCTCTCTCTCTCTCTCTCTCTCTCTCGCCCTCTGCATCCTTCTACTTGCCTTAATAGTTGCATATGTTTTCAATGTATATGTCCTTCACATCCTTTCTTTTCTTGATTTTTTTCTAGTTTTTTTTTTTCATTTAGAAACACAGGGGCAGGAGTTATAGTACAGAAGGTAGGGTGTTTGCCTTGTATGCAGCCAACCTGGGTTCGATTCCCAGCATCCCATATGGTTCTCTGAGCACCACCAGGAGTAATTCCTGAGTGCAAAGCCAGGAGGAATCACTGTGCATTGCCGGGTGTGACCCAAAAAGAAAATAAAGAAAAGAAATGCAACTATTTCTGCCTGCTGATTTTGTGGCATGTTACTTTACTATATTGGTTAATTATTTCTAAAAGATTTTTGTTGGAATATGTTGCATCTTCAATGTCTGATAGGGTTTCATTTCAGCATCATCTCCTCCTCTTGGTTGATTCTTCCCTCACCATAGGAGATACCCCCTTTCTACCTCCTCATCACATCCTATTTCCCAGTCCCTCTCAAGTGGCATTTTTCCAACTGAATATCAGTTCTTATATTCTTTGTTTTCATTTTCTTTGAGTATTCATTGTTCCACCATTAAGTTTATTTATATCTGAGATATGAAAGAGATTATTCTATGTTGGTCTCTCTCCCTCTGACTAACTTCACTCAGCATTCAAAAATCTAGGTTCCTTTGTGTAACAGCAATTCGCATGACTTTTGTTTTTCTTATGGCTGTAGTTTTCTCATTTCTCCTCTCATATCCTCCTGTGTTTTGTTGGTGGTCTACTCCATTGTTTCTTTGAACTTGTTAAACATCCTAAGCATTTATACTATAAATTCCTTATTAGAGAAGTTAATATAGGTGGATATTATACTTATTGACTTTTCGGGATCACAATCTTTACCTATTACTCATGGTGGGTTTCTCTACTGCTTTGCTATAGTTCTTTTTGTAGTCTGGGGCTAAGGGAGTGTGTCTTTTCTATTTCATTCTCAGTTTCCACCGACTGCCAGGGAGATCTCTGGAGGAGCTCTATTGAAATGGGGATATAATCTTTGGGCCACCACTTTGGGGGGACCAAAGTACTACCTCCTTATTTTGGGGTGTAGTCAGCTTCCTTGGTGCTTTTGCTCAATGATTGTAGTGCCTCTACTGGGATGGTGGGACACAGTGTGGGCTCAGGGCATACAAACACCGGGACCTTTTGGCTTTTCTATATGGAGAAAAAACTTTCTTGGGCTGGAGAGATTATAGATGGGGTGGTGCTTTCGCTACACAATGTTAATGGGTTTGATCCCCACATCACATCTAGTCTCCTAAACACCATAAGGAGTGATCCTGAGCACAGAGCTAGAAGAAATACCTAAACACAGTTAGATGGAACCAAAACCAAAACCAAAAACCAAATATATATATATATATTTATATGCCTTCATCAGTAATTATGAACAAAGCTATTCTAATGAATTCTTAGAAAAAGTTATAATCTGTCAAACCTTAATTTGTCACAGTTTATTCTTTAAGAGTTTATCAAAATCCTCATAAAATAAAAATAAAGCAGTAAAATACAATTGGGAAGAAACAGCACTCACTTTATTAGGGAATCGGATGAGGTCCCTTAACATAAGAACAGAATTAATCATTTCTTCCTGACCAGGAGAAAAAAACAGAAACAAAGAAAGAAAAGTTAGCTTATCTACTTATAGGTTGCATAATTCATCTTGCTACTGGAGATTTAAGTTTTCAAGTTAAGAATCTTTTGGTATGCTGCTACTCTGCAGAGAAACTGGTCCAATGTTTTCCTACAAATCTGTATCTCCTTACTGGGTGTCAAGTGGCTAGAATACCATTACATAGGAAATGGATAAGAGAAAATAACTGATGAAAAATTTTCAGTTCAAGTGAATGAAATAAGGTTTATTCATCCATGTTAACATTCTCTGAGTTACAGACTTCTGTGAGCAAGGGCAGTAACACTTGAATATTTTATCATTTTCTTAGAAGTTACATATAATAATCTTAATTACGGTATGTCCTTTTAAAAATACAAAATATTGTATTGTGAGCAGATGTTATATAGAGCTGATGGTTTCTATCAGTCACTTTATAAACCACTATCACCCCAGAAATGCTTGGGCAGGCAAGAGAGCCTATTGCTTCAAATCAGAGCCAGGCTGCCCAGTGGTCTACCTGATCTCATTTCTTGATTTTTTTTCATAGGCATGGCCAGACACTAGTAAGTTCACAAATCGGAGGCCCTACAAATATTGTTCAATCTATAATTCTTTGGAAACTAAATTCACCCTGCCCTGGAAGTACCTGTTTTGTAAATTCCAATCTGCATACCGAAGAAATGAATGCATCCTGTATCTGTGACCACTGGCCACAAGATGAAATTTTGTCTTCCTTTGCCCAACGACTTAGGATCCTGGTGATCATAGCAATATAGTTCCTGATTTCTAAGTAATTTCCCATTAACTGGAGGGTAGATAGATTTTTCAGGCTGGAATTATACCTGAGGAAATACATAAGTTATCATAATTGTCCCACCATACTCCAAAACTTTCATCCAGCCTACAAAAAGTAGAAAGGCATTTGTTATAAAATTGGTTTTGGTTGGGTTAGAGTAGAATGAGAATGACACAATAGATTTGGTATATTATATAGTTAAAATGCAAAAATTAAATGAAATCCTTTTATCAAAACTAAATATGGATAAGAAGTCAATCCAACTGATGCAGAAACATCCTTGCAAAGGAAGCAAAAGTTGTACAAGTAGAGGTAATAAGACCACACTCTATAGCCATGCCTGACTAATGGTTCAGGTATATTCTACCGAAAAGCGTTGGTAGTCTCAAATCACAGCTGAATGGACTCTCACACTGTACACAGATAACAAACCATTATAAAATAACCGTGGCCAAGTAGGTTTTATCCTTGGAATACAAGAGTAATTCAAGTATAAAAATCAAATAACACGTGGGAAAAGACAATACAGTGGACAAGGTGCTTGCCCTGCACATGACTGACATGAATTTTATTCCTAGCACCTCATATTGTCCCCCAAGCCAGGAGTGAGCCCTGAGAACAGAGCCAGGAGTATACTCTGAGTACTGCTGGGTGGGTTTCCAAAAGAAATAAACAAAAATAAAATAGAATATTAATGACATCAATAGTCTAAAGAAAACCCAACCTCATCACATCTCAACAGATAAATATGTTGAGAAAAAATTAAATAAATAACAAAGGTTATTTTACAAAATCCAATACTTTTACATAATTTTTAAAAAGCAAACCATAAATACATGAAATGTATTCAAGTTGTTGAAGTATCAAGACCAGGATTTCTCACTTCTAGCCAACATTAAGCAAGAAAAAGAAATAAGCTTTTCAGACTAGAAATTCACAGATAATCTGATTTTATTCATACCAAGTTTCAAGGAATATAATTAAATTTTCTGAAAAACTAGTTAATTTAGGTTATAATATATAAAAATATCAATGCATAAAAATCAGATGAGTATATTAAAACTAACAATATAAATTACAAAAAAAGAATGAAGAAAACAATGCATGTAAAACATAAAGGGAATAAAATGCTAATCATTAAACTAAACAAAAACAACAGAAACCTCAATGGTGATACTGAAACTACTCCAGTGTAAAATATTGCTGAAATAAAATAAGTCTAAGTGAGAGGAAAATAAACTTTGAATATTGACCTACTGATAGAATAAAATGAGTATCAAAAATATCATTAAGGATAACCAAAATAGTATTCCTCAAAATGCTAAGCATAGCATTATTACATGACCCAGCAATTCTTGTTATATATCCTATAGAAATAAAAATGTACATCCACACTAGTAAACATCTGAATCATTCATAATTTTCTAAAGTGAAAATAGAACATATACACATCAAATGATGAATGAATAAATGGATTATAAGAAAAGCCCATTAAATGCCATCATAAGAAAGAATATAGTTGTAATAACCTACAAGAAGAACCTAAAAATAAATAACAAGAAACAAAGAAGGTAGGCACTGAAGATTACACGGGATACTGCCACGCGCAAAAATAAGTCTAGAACCATACTCTTTGGACATAAAGTAGATTAGTGGTGGCCGGTGCTGGTGCAAAAAAAATCTTGAAGCACGAGTACAGGTTTGAGGAATAATGAAATGTTCTAAAATCAGGTCATTGTAATGCTTTCATAATGTGTAATAAAATCCAAAGAATTATGCCTATGTAAATGGATAAATTATATTATGTAAATGATATCTCAACATATTGTTTTAAAAACAGAAGAAAGTGCTTTATAAGCACTGAAGCATTTGCACAAATCCTTATTGATAGGTAAGAAGCAAGTGTCAGAGTCCTCATTATTTTTCTCATCCTGAGATGAGTTCACAGGAGGCGATAATAACTTTACAGTGCTTCTGACTTAGAAGAGGAAGTACACACTTCTCTAAGGTAATAAATATGGCAACGGTACTTACAAATCTTCAGGGCATTGAGTGCCATGGAAATATGGCAGCACGGTGACTTCCACGGCACACTGTACTTGCGACCCTTGGCCATCTATGATCACAGTGGACACCAGCACTATAAAGAAACATAAGCCTCACAGTAGATTAAAGATTCTTTTACACATGATGACAGCAACTGAATGACAGGATTAGGAAAGCCAGGAGAATATGAAATTGTAAACTGGCTTCTCTTCTACTAGGAATGGCAGCAAACAAATTAAATATTTTCTGGGCTGGTTTGCCTGATATATTGATAAGGAGCCACAAAGGAATCAAAATAAATCATGGCCCCAGAGGTAAACTTTTGGTTTTCCAGTTTTTCAGTTATTTGGGGAGATTGCATACTCCAACATGAAGCACTGAGTGCAATATAGAGTGTGTGCCAGAGAAGCAGGGAGGATGGGAGTGGAGGAGCAGATGTTGCCAATGAGTGCCAGAGGCTTTGGATAGTGAGTTCACTCACTCACTAATGAGGCAAATGAACAGAGAGGTCACTGAGCCCAACCTTATCCTCCCATTATATTTACAAAGCAGTGAGTAGGGCAGTGAGTAGGATGGGAGTTAAAATACTTGCATGCAGCTGGCTCTGATTTAATCTTTGGCACCACATATGGTCCCCTGAACCACAGGAATGACCCCTGAGCACAGATACATGGTTAAGCCTTGAGCACTGCTGGATTTATCCCAACCCATCTCTCCCCCAATCAAAAAAGGCAGCAAGTATTAAAACAGGTAAATTCCAGAACAATGGAAGCCTAAAATATGAAACAAAAACTCTGTGGAGAGTCTAAAGGTGGGGTGGGGGGGGTGTGATACTTTAACACACAGCTAAGTGAAAGATAGGTCTAGAGAAAAAGAAAAGAAAATGTTACTAAGGGTTAGTTTGTGTTAAATGTGGCTGTAAATGGTTTGGGGGGCACTTAGGAACATCTTCCAGTGACATGGGCCTGGATTTTTGGTGAGAATTGCAGGGAAAGCCGATAGTAAAGGCATACACCATACTGAAGAGAGACACATGGATGTACATGTGGTCTTTTTTTTTTTTCAATAAAAGCATTGCTGAAATTCAGGCTGAGGTACGAGGAAATAATTTTTAGTTTATTTTCTTCCCCTTCGCTTCTCTTCATCGTTAGTGAAGTGACTGGGGATCCAGAGGGTCAGACAACTGCGGTTGTAATGCCCCACACATTGTATGCCACACCTTATACTCTGGGTGCCAATGATAGCACTGACAGTATGGGGATCACACTAAACAACATTAGGCAGTGCCAGGGATTGAACTCATGACTTCAGGTATGCAAGGAAAATAGATTCTCTGCTGACTCACTGAGCTACATACATTGGTCTGATACTTAAATTTTGACAATCAAAGTTTTCCAAGTTGTGGCTTTTGGACACAAGAAGTCCTATCACTAAATATAAAAAAATTTTGCGTTCTGCATTCTTCACAGTATTCTGAACCAATGAGTATTAGTTGGACCTCAAGTTTAACTGAGATAAAAAGATGCAATTTTTACAAGTACCCAGTGATTCTGCTGCAGATTATACTGGCCCTCTGATTCAAAAAAGAAGATGTGAGAAGAAATATAGGTCAGAAAATCTTCTAATGTGGCACACTGGGTCAGAACTGTCTAATTTTCAAACAGGAGAGGAGGCTGGAATGATACCCCAACCCACTGGAACACAGGGTTTACATGGAGGAATTCCAGGTTTGCTCCCTGGTACTGCATATTCCTCAAGAACATCAGGAGTGACTCCCAAGCACGAAGCTGCACATTACTCCCAAGCATTTACAGGTATGATCTCCAAATCAAAAGGAGGAAGTAAAAACAGAGAGATCTAACATAATAAAATATCCCTCAAGTTGTATCTATTGTTTCTCATGTTTACTCTATCTAAATATTGAACTCAGAATTATCTTGATTTACAAAAAGATTTAGAATTGGTGAAACTTCACAATTATAATATCACTTCAACATTGTAATATCACTAATATTATTTTTGCATAGAAACTAGCTAATCAACCTAAACTAAAAATCAGTAAACTTATGAAGATAAATAATAAGATTAGATTTTGTATTTTTAGGAAACCAGTAAAAAGTTCAGAAAAGGAGAGAAAATATCCCAAATGTGCACAGTAACTTACCTTTATAATTGTTTGCGGGCTCTCCAGCAGGCAAAGCAAAATAATACTGAGCATCTCTGCCATGATACATGATGTGCTTAGAAGTATTTCCTATTTGATAACTAAATTCATAACAAAAATCCTGCAGTTTATTCCCCAAAAAGCAAAATAAAACCACAGATTAACAAACAGAATCATTTCCCCAGTAAGTACATATATGCCTGCATCCTTTCTTCTGCTTGAATATTTTTCAGACAGTAATAGGACAGAGAATATCTCAGTGACCTGAGAGCACAGACAGGCACAGTGATCTCCCCCTCACTACCTCCTTCCTCTAGATACTCTTTCCTCTCTGGGCTCGATAGAAGTGCTCATCTGTAATTCAGGATAGTAGGTCATGCATCCTCCTACTGGTCACAGAATGCTGACATCTAGGATCCTTGGGATGAACTATATACAATTTACTTCACTCAAGGTACACACAAAAAGAGGCATGAGAGGAATGATTGTCTCAGGTACTCTAGGTGAGTATTTCCTCAAAGGAGAAATAAAATTGGCCAAAGGCATGTGAAAAAAATGTTCTATATCACTAATCATCAGGAAGACGCAAATCGAAATAACAAAGAGTATCATTTCACAGCACAGAGACTAGCACATATATAAAAGAACAAGAACAATCCGTGTTGGTGCCAATGTGGAGAGAAAGAGACCTCTTTTATTATTTGTGGGTATGGGGTGCTACAGGGAATGATTAGGGGAACAGCTGTGGTCAAGGGTGAGCCCCTGAACCTTGTCCAAAGTCGAAGAGGGGTAGGGGGCTTCTCCCTCTGTCCTTAGACAGTCAGAATCAATGTCCAGTTACTATGTTTAAAACAGAATGTCAGGGACAATTGAGTAAGCTAATTACCAGCCAGCTGGGAAGAGTGAAGAACCAGAACACCCTGTTCAACTGCTTGTGGGTTTCTGAGGGAAATATCCACCCCCTCCAAAGGTGTTCATCGAGGCTGGAGCAATAGCACAGTGGGTAGGGCATTTGTCTTGCATGCGGCCGACCCGGGTTCGATTCCCAGCATCCCATATGGTCCCCTGAGCACCGCCAGGGGTAATTCCTGAGCCAGGAGTAACCCCTGTGCATTGCCGGGTGTGACCCCAAAAGAAAAAAAAGAAACAAAACAAAAAAAAAAACAAAGGTGTTCATCTATCTATTGCTCTCCTTTTTCTCTTAAGGTCTATAAACCTAACACTGATTGCAATAAAGTGAGTCTTCTCCCTGCAGAGGTTTTTGGAGTCACATCTTGTCTTTGTCTGTCTCGTCTTTACATACCGTTCTGTATACCAATCCTCCCATCCTGTGCACAACAGGTGGGGTTGGGTGGACTGCCACGCCTGGCTCTTCAGCCAGGCGCAGGGACCCAACTAGTCAGAATGACAGGAGAGAATGCCAAGTGGTTTAGCTTTATTGGAAAACAATATGGACAGTCCTCAAAAAACTAAAAATTGAACTTCCATATGACACAGCAATATCACTTCTGGGAATATACTACAGGCGTGTAAAAAACACACTGCAGAAAGGCCATCTGTGCTTCTATGTTCAATGCAGAACTATTCACAATAGCCAGAATCTGGAAACGATCCAAGTGCCCAAGAACAGATGACTGGATAAAGAAACTATGGCACATCTACACAATGGAATACTGCATAGCTTTTAGGGAAAATGAAGTTATAAAATTCACTTATAAAATGGGTGGACATGGAGAGTATCATGCTGAGTTAAATAAGTCAGAAGGAGAGAGACAGATATAAAATGATTGTATTCATTCTGGGATATAAAAAAGCAGAGTATGAGACTAATTCCCAAGGATAGTAGAAACATGGGCCAGGAGGAGAATTGGTCCATGGTTGGAAGTCTGCCTCTAGTGCTGGAGGTGAATCCAGTTAGGATAGAGAAAGAACCACTATGACAATGACCACTCTACATAAGAACCTTGTGCTGAAAGTAGGTAAAGGAACTAACATGATAACCTCTCAGTGTCTGTATTGCAAACCATAGTGCCCAATTTGGGGAGGGAGGGAGAGAGAGAGAGACAGAGAGACAGAGAGAGACAGAGAGACAGAGAGAGAGAGACAGACAGACAGATACAGAGACAAAGAGAGACAGAGATGCCTGCCATAGAGGCAGGCTGGTGGTGGAGAGTGGCAGAAGGGAAACTGAGGTCATTGGTGGTGGGAAATGTACACAGGTGGGGAGATGGGTGTTGGAACATTGTATGACTGAAACCGATCATGAACAGCCTTGTAGCTGTGTATCTCAGAATCTGTTCCCCTGGGAATGTGGGGACTCTCAGAAAAGAGGCAGAATGATCAGGCCAGGAAGCCATAGTGACTAGTCAGGGCCCAGGTAGCAATAGTACCACCTGGTCCCAGGAGGAAACGTGTACCCTCTCATGTAAACCTCAAAAAGACTGTGATGTGTAAAACCATCACAATTCACTTCTTCCTGCACAGCCGGAGAATGAGGCTTAGAGATGTAAGCAGGTCTCCTTATCAGAGCTTCCCAGCCTGCCAACACTGCCCCAGCACTAACTGAACATTTCTCCCTGAAATGCAGGAGTGGCAGTTGTTAGCTGCTAGTCCCACAGTTACCTGTGCTGTGGACATGCTACCAGGCCTGCTCCATAACTGCTGCCTATTTTCCCTCCTGTGAGATCATGCTTCTTTCCAGCTGTGGTCATTCTATACTTACTCATTTGGGGGTGTGATGGGAGGACATACTCTTCATGCTCAAGCAACTTCACAGCATGAAACATCATGCCCAATTCCTCACTGAATTTTTAGCCTAAAATTGGTCACAGCTTTTTAGATGAGGCTGTCTTAACCCCTGGACAGACTTGGGACTACTGTGCATACCGGTTTTCCTGACATGCAGAAGATACTAAAGATGGTCTGTGCCTCCAGGCCCTGGGAGGGTTGCACCTGGCAGGACACATCTTTTGGAGCTTGGTTAACTGCCAGGTATAGCTGAGCCTTCCCCAGCAGATGGTGCTTTGAAACTAAAAAGAAGAAAAGAAAAAATGGAGATGGAATGTGTGATAGAAAAAAGCCTAGCAGTATGGGAATGCTTTTAAAGTACAAACCTGTGAGTTCTTAACCTAGAAGCATGAGTATTTCTTGGGATCATGTAAGAAATTCAGATTTGGAGTTCCCATCCAGACCTTCAAGATCAGTGTTAATACTAGACTACAAATCATGCCTACCAGGGGATTCTGATATTCACTGGATGAGAACCAATTCTGTACAGCAATTATGAACAGTATATCTAAACATTTACAAGGTGATCACTACACAGGAAGTACAATTTAGGACCCCTGAAGACCACAGAAAGTAGATAATAACCAACCATGCAATGGAAATCAAGGTGTAGAACAGAAGACCTTATAGAATATAAGGTCCAGAAAACCAAACTACTTCTGTAAGTCTATGTTATCCTAAAACCTCACCTATAAACACAGATAGGTATTTTTCAATGAATTCATAGTACTGTTAAAGTTTCACATTTTATTTTTATTAAATGCATTCATATCATAATAATTTCTGTTCAAAACACCCATTGGAGATAGTTGCACAAGACTGACATGTCTTTAATTTCCCTGTGTGTGTGTTGTGTGTTTGTGTGTGTGTATGTGTGTGTATGTCAAGACTAATATGTCTTTTTCCAAACTTTTAAGGTTTTATTTTGTGTTTTATGCCTAAAACTGAGACCAAATATTTAGTTTCTAATTGAATCATGAAAAGGACAGGAGGATATTTACAACAATGTAGACAAAAATAGTAAGAATCAAAATGTTGGGTTTTTTCCCCCTTCTGGAGAAGCCCTTGTTCATATGTCTGAAAAATAGGGATATGAAAAAAATGTATGTCCTCACTGATTATCAGCAAAAAGCAAATCAAAATGACATTTAGGGATCACCTCACCTATGTATGTGGTCCAGGCCTGGAAATGATAAGTGGTCTCAGGGAGATTACAAAAAGGGAACTTATTATTGCTGCTTTGTTCAGTCTTAACCTCTTTGAAAACTTCTCATAAAACAAGGAAGTGATGATAGCTTTCAGTTGACCCTGTAATTCTACTCTTGGGTATATGCACCAACAATACAAAAATGCTAATAAAAAAGAACATATGTTTATTGCACAATTATTTACCATATCTAAGATCTGGAAAGAACCCAAGTGCCCTGATGAATGGATAAAGAAATTGTGATAATAGAAAACTACTCAGCAATGAGAAAAGTTGCAGAATTGTATGGAATTATAGGGTCATGTTAAATGAAGTGTGTCAGAAACAAAAAGAGAAACACCAGATGATTTACTCGCTTGTAGACTATAAAGAAACAAAACAAGGCACTGTACAATCTCCATTTAAGTTATGAATCTCAATTTAAGTTATGAATTTAAAAGTTCATAACTATAATGCAAATTTGTTATTAAATTCAACTATGGACACAATAAAAATAATGAAAATACTTCTTGCTAAGTTCTACAGCAGGTTTTTATTCAATGTTGACTTGTGTTTTCACTTTGGAAAATGAGAATCAAAAGGAATGCAAAACTGGGAATTCACAATGGACCTTTAATTTATTGAAAACTGTAGCCACTGAACCAAAATCATTTGTGGGTAATGAGTCTTTATATCCTTCTGCTTGTTACAAGTAAGTGAAAATATCTAGAAAGGGGTGAAATAACTAGAAGTTACCCAAAGGGAAGATTTCAGATTGTCATGGAAATTCTAGAAGGAACATGAAGAAGAGCAAATGAATAATGTACTGTAGATTCAAATGGAGAGTGACTAGAAATGAGTAAAAGCATCTTCTTGGGTGTTAAAAATATGAAAAATTGGGGCTGGAGCGATAGCACAGCAGGTAGGGCGTTTGCCTTGCACACGGACAACCCGGGTTCGAGTCCCAGCACCCCATGTGGTTCCCTGAGCACCGCCAGGAGTGATTCCTGAGTGTATGAACCAGGAGTAACTCCTGTGCATCACCGGGTGTGACCCAAAAAAGCAAAAAAAAGTTTTTTATTAAACAGACACTTGACCCCATAAGAAAGAGTAAATTTACAGAAACACATTGGTATCTTTTTTGCTGATTCTCTAGCAATATTGTGACAAACTACAGTATAGAAGGTGAAGATACTGAAGCTGCCCAAGACCAAAATCTAGGGAAAGTAAGGAGTACATATAACTTCTGGGTGTGTATGAATATAAATTAGCCCTTACTGCACCCTGCAACAGACCCACATAATAGCACAACATACCCACAGAGGCTTGTAGGACATATGTCTCTCCAGGACTCAGTGAGTATGGCTTTATTATCACATCTTGTTCCATGATTCCTAGAGGAGGAGAGGCCACATGGGAACAATTGTCAATGGATCCCTACAGATTTTACTTTCACTTCAGAGATAAAGGTAAAACAGATACTGGTTAAATCTGCCCTGAAAACAGTCTCTCTCTCCTCTCTCTCTCTCCCTCCCTGTCTCTCTTCCTCCTTCCCTTCCTCTCCCCCCCCCCATAAGTTTATTAAAGCACTGTGATTTACAAAGTTATTCATAGTTGAGTTTTGGACAAACGATATTGCAGCACTGATCCCACCACCAGTGTCAACCTACCCCCACCAATGTTCCCAGGTTCTCACCAATATAGCCCCACCTCACCCCCACCTCTACAACACACATACACACACACAACACACAGAGCTTGCCCTCTTGACAGGCACTTTTCTAGATTAGTTGTGAAAGTTCAGGTCTCTTGATTTCAGTGCTGCTGACACTGTGGTTCAGATATTTGGCTCTAAAATATCATTCCTCTCATTCCTCAACACCATCTTTGTACCTGAATCCCCTGGCCTGGCCCCCATTGCTTCAGATCTGCTTCCTCTCCTTTTTGACCCACCTCAGCTGCCAAGGAAACCTTAGACAGTCCTTGTGTGTTTCTGTCATTCTCTGTGACTGACAGAGGTTGAAGGTGCAAATCTGATTGGCTTTATTGTGGAAAACAGTCACACCTACCTAGAAATGTTATTACTTTGTCCAATACTGGTCTTCTTTATAACTTCAGGACCGATCTCTAATTCTCTCCTGGCAACAGAAGAACCTCAAGCACTGGGCAGTGAGCCCAGCTTGGGAATGACATTTCAATGCAACCAGAATACCAGTAAACTTAATTAATCTGTGACTAATCTAACCAAGGCATTTCAAAGTAATTTTAAGTCTTTTCACCATATGAGCCACAAATAAAATTGGTTATGATAGTAACCACAGGTTATTGTAGTATTTACTAAGCTAATCCTGAACTAAATACCCTGAAAAGAAAGATATGTCAATGAAAATCTGATGATGTGAAAAAGGGGTAATTTTAAATTTTAAATTTTAAATTTTATTTTAAATTTTGGTTTGGGGACACGCATGGCAGCGCTCAGGGCTTACTTCTGCCTCTGTGCTTAGGTGTGACTCCTGGTGGTGTTCAGGTGGTGCTGGGGATCAAATTTCAGTTGGTAACATGTAAGGCAATTGCCTGCACTCCTGTACTATATCTCTAGCTTCTGAGGTCATAATTTTAAAACTATTCCTGGAAATTTTCAGAAAACAATGCATAAGAAATCAAAGTTAAGTGTGGGACCAGAGAGATAGTGCAGTAGGTAGGTTGCTTTCTTGCATACAGTTGACCCAGGTTTGTTCCACAGCATCCCATATGATTCACCAAACCATGCTATGAGTAATTCTTAGCAGAGTCAGGAGTAGCCCCTGGGCATCTCCTGGAATGGCCCCCAAACAAAACAAGAATGTGTAACTCAAGACTGTTGGCCAATGTCATCAAATGTGTTATCATAAAGGGCTAAGATCCATGAGAACGTCGTCATGACCTTTTACAACCCAACTCTCTTTGTGCTGAACTACTTGAACAGCAAGTCCACACTGTGACAACACACTAGGAGATGTACCCACAGATATCTGGGCAAGCATCCAGGGACTGGCACATATAAGCTTTAACATGTTTTTGCTTATAGTCTAAAAACAATGGCTTCTGGCAGGTTACAGAGGCTGATTCTTCCGTTGATGACTGCAGTCTCAGACAGTAGCCACAAAGAAACAAACACAAGCAGAAATGGCGTGATGATTCCAACTATGTTAGTAATAAAAGTGAAAGGTACAAAACAAGTGAAGGACTTTGAAATAAAGACCTTTCTGAAACAGCAGCATTACCAGGATGCAAAGAGAAGAGCATACCAGAAGATGTGTAGTCATGGAAAACGGTCCGGGGGAGCAGAAACTTGGGCCAGTCCACAAGGAGTGTGGACTTTGCGTGACTGGGAGTGGGGATGGGACCCAGAAGGTTATCCCCACCACCATGACCTTCAACAGCACTCACACTCGGTCTCGATTCAGGAAGGCTGATTCCTAAGAAGACAAGTCAAGTCAATGGATAGCAGACAAAAAGTTATAACATTTATTTATTTATTTAGGTTTGGGGGTCCATGCCCAGGGCTGATTCCTGGCTCTGTGCTCAGGAATCACTCCTAGCAGTGCTTGGGAGACAACATGGGGAGCCATGGACTGAACCCAGGTCTGCTGCATGTAAGGCAAGTGCTTTATCTGCCTTACTATTTATATAACCCATAGCAATATTATTAAATAAAACATTAATTTGAAGCTAATACTGTCAACTTATACTATTAGTAACTACTTTTGCTCGGTACTATACATCTAAAATAGTACCAGCTACTAGATGCACTCAAAATATTATCTTTGGTTAGTAGTACAGGTGCATTTTCCTCCTTTCTGCCATTCATTACACAAATATTTATTCTGGTTTACTAAGTACAGGTACTATCCTAGAAATAGTCTAGAGATACAGAAGACATCAGAGCAACACTGTCTTGGATACTAGGAATTCTGTGGTGAGTGATTCAGCAAAAGAAACAAGAAAATACTAACATTAATACAATAGGGCCAGATAATGGCAATCATCCTAAAAACAAAAAAAGATAAACCAGGACTTGGAGAAGAGAGGAGAGGAAAGGCAAGGCATAAAAATAAGGCTGGTGAGAGGATATGAGATGCTAGGGAAACAGTGGAGGGGAGGGGAGTAAGTGGGAAGAGGAGGTAAATATAGGAGACAGGTGAGAAGCAAAAGGGAGGGCATGGGAAGGGGGTGAGAAGAGGGGAAAGGAGAGCTGGGGAGAGAAAAAGATGGGAGAGAGAAGAGAATGGGAGGGGGTTTGAGAAGGAGAGACAAGATGGAGGAATGGGAAGAGTGGGGGGAGAATGAGGAAAGGATAAAGACGTGTAAGAGGACATGAGAAGGGAGGGGATGAGAAGATAGAGGAGGGAAGAACAGGTGGGGTAGGGGAGTAGAGGTAAAAGACAAGAGTTGAGGGTAGGAGAGAAGAGACTAAACGGGAGGAGAGAGCAGGTGAGGGGAGAGGAGTGGAGAGCGAATCAAAGGAGAGACAGAGAGGGAGAGACAGAGAGGTATGGGGCGGGGGACAAACATGAGAGCGGATTGGGGAGAGGAAGTCCCTGTAGCAGAATCTCAGAACAGAGACTTGAATGAGCTTTTTGAAGAAAATACTGTGAAAATGGTATGTAATATTATAATCGAGGGTGTGCATAAGAGCAGAAGACTATAAAATAAATATAAGAAATGCTCAGGGGCCATTTCTTATCACCCAAAATGTGGTAGAGAGCCAAGGAATAGTCAGGGGTGACACTGTGGTTTGGGTTTCTAAAAGCATTCTGTTGTGCAATAAACAAGAATATATGCAAAAAGGATGGATACAGTGAGAAAATTTAATTGCCTGCATGGTCAAAATACTTGGACTTTGCTTAGAGAAAACTAATTTGTGATTTAAATGAAAGAATATGGAAACAAAACCCACAAAAACAATCATTTGAAAAGATATTTTCACTCCTATGTTCATTGTAGCACTACTCACAATAGCTGAGATCTGTAAACAACAAAGTGTCCTAGAACAAATACGAAGATAAAGAAGATGTACTTTATATGCAAAATGGAACACTGTACAGCTACTAGAAAAGATGGAATCTTGCAATTCGCTGAAATTTGCATAGAACTGGGGGCTATGATATTTAGCAAAGTGAGAATAGAGGACAAATACTAAATAATCTTACTTATACGTGAAGTATAAAGAAAAGTGATATGGGGATACACATGGCCAGCAATAACATACCCTGAGTCTGCAAAGTGGGGCACAAGGAACAAGAGGGATTCTGGTACTCCAGTAGCAGGTATGGGATAGTAACATAATATTCCTAAAATACTAATATTAACACAACCACAAACCACAGTGTCTAAATTAGAAACAAACATTATTGAAATAAGATACAATGATCAAATAGCCAATGTCAAGGAATTAGAATGAGATACAACTCTCAAGAAGTATAATTTCATAAATAAAATGTTTTCTCTTAATTTGATAAGCACCTGTGAATACAAAGTAAGCCCTTAAACAGGTATGGGTGGTAAATAGTTAAGAGGGATAGCCTTGAAGAAACCATGAAGCTATAGGTCCTTGTAGAAGTCTATCAGAAGATATACTTCAGCAATTTTATTGTAAAAATCATCAATAATTCATATAATTCTGTCACTTTCCACTGTCCTCCCATTGTTCTTCGATTTGCTGAAGCAGGCCCAGTAACGTCTCCATTTTGAGACTTGTTGTCACTATGTTTGGCATATTGAATACGTCACGGGTAGCTTGCCAGGCTTTGCCGTGAGGGCGAGATACTCTTGGTAGCTTTCCGGGCTCTCCAAAAGGGGCGGAGGAATAGAACCCGGCCTGGTCAAACTGACTGCGCGTAAGGCAAACGCCCTACCACTGTGCTAATAAATGAATATTAATTTATTTATATGTTCATTCTCTAAAAATATCATTGATAATCCACATAATTTCTCAGTGAGCACTTATTTATCTACATATTCATTCTATAAAAATATCATTATGCAAACAGAATCTATAGAATTAAAATCCTTTCTTCTTAAAAAAATCATTCAGTGATAACCATCTATTAACTTGATATCCCATTAATTGAGTGCCAGTAGACCAAGTACTGATCGTTCTGGGAAAAATAAATATGGATGCTTTCTTTGAAGATCCCAAGGTAGCATGAGCAAATGCAGGAGACAATATAAACAACATGCTATCTGCTTAAAACAATAGGAATAAATGCACATGCTGAACACTACAAGGAGGAATTGAACTTTTTAGGAAGAGATAAATTGATGCCCCAAAAATGGGAGTTTAATCTCTTCCTTTTGATTCTTGAAGGTAAAGAAGGGAGGGAGAAGAGGCTTACCCCAATACAAACGTGGGGGGAATGCCAAGGGCAGTACTTTTGGTCAATGACACCATGAGGCATAGAGGATAGATCATGCCTACTTGAGTCTGGGGCTACTCTTGGGTTACTGAAGTATAAGACAATAGAAGGACACAAGCAGATAAGTGAGAAATCGAGTCTGGGGTCTGATTATATCAAAAAAAGGTAATTTAATCTCTTCCTTTTGATTTTTGAAGGTAAAGAAGTTGTTTGTTTTACAAGTGTGGATATTACTAGAAGTAGCATAAGATCAGTGACAAAGGGTCTTGGGTCTTCTGGTAGTGCAAATGCAGTGACTCGATGAAAGCATAGACATTCACAGTATTGTAACTATCTCTCCAAGTAATAGTGTGTAGATATATTGAAGAGACAGGGACATAGGGGTTTCAAGAAAGAGGTAACTAATAGACTCATAGTCACCTGGTCGTCTTCCTTCGGATGGAATTGCTTCTTGAATATCACTGTAAAAGGCTTCAGAATCTATGTGAAAGAAGAGAAATTTTTTTGTTGTTGTTGAAAACCAAAGACCCCTTTGATATTAATGTTGATTATGCCAATATTTAACAAATGTTTTCTTTTTTTATTTCTAAAATCCAAATACTGCTTGATGAACTTCAAACTCTCCTCAAGACAATATTGCACTTCATTGCTATGACAGTATAGAGAGGCAGGTGTCACTATTTCAGTCCTGGAGGATCAGAAATTCCAATTAGGTATGTGAATTCCCAATGACAATCCAGCTAGTATAATTGAAGCAAGCCCAGATTTTGGCCTCTCAAGAGCATGCTTTCATGCTATTTCAAAGAACATTTGTACTCAATTCAGTTAGAAAAAGATACACAGACAAAAAACATCTTGTGTGCAAATGCCATTTTCCTTTCCCTGTGGCTCTTTGACATTTGAGGAATTCTTAAAGGTTTCCTCCAGCCAGCTGGATGTGGGGAGTAGCAGAGCTTGTCAGTGTGAAGGGGGCAGAGATCAGACAAGGCCTGAATATGACTGGCCACACCAAACAGTGTCATGAACCATGGCAGATTCTGGACCATTACATTTCACTGACAATTAGATTTCTTCCCAACTTTTACCACAAAAATAGTTTAAGTGTAACCTAATGATTTTTAAAAAATGATAAGGCAAAATAATTTTTTGTTTGTTTTGAGACCCCAACCAACCGTGTTCAGACCCTATTTCTGCCTCTGTGCTCAGGACAGAACACAGTGTCAGGGATAAAATCAGGCTCTAACTAATATACCAAGAGTAGCACAATGTACATATATATGTGTACATAGGCACACAAGACTCAAACTCTAACAACATGTTAATGATCTCTAGTACAGGGGCTTAATGGCTCCAAGATGAGATGCAACAATTTTCACACACATTCCTCTAAGGAAAACATTTTGGATCATTTTTAGTCAATTAGTCATAATAAGCAATGCAAAATAAATTATTTAGCATCTGCCTTTGAGGCAGACTTGGGTGATGGTGGGAAAACTCAAAATAATGTGGGGAGGTATAATGGTTGTGAGATTGGTGTTAAAACATTGAATGTAATCAATTACTGTGAATAATTCTTTTAAAATAAAATTAAAAAAACAAAACAAAACAGGGTCTACTGTATACAAAGTGAACTCCTTATCCTCTGCATTATCTCAACATCCCACAACAATTATTTTAGGGAAGGAGAAAAGGATGAGAATGTTGAAGTGCATAGAAAATTTATTGAAACAAAGATGCTACATGACCTAGTTTAGAGAAAATGAGAGACTCAGAGGCAATTAAATATATAGCAAGTGGAAGGTTCAGATATGATTCTAGGCCTGTACTATCAGATTTGTTCCTTCCAGGTAATAGGGGGCCCAGGAATGGTCACTTACCAGGCAGGTGAAGGGAGGAGCTCTCTCGGGAGGAGGGCTGAGATGACAGAGGACCATTGTCCCAAGAGGAACCATTTGGTGCTACAGTGCTGCTTGATACAGAGGTCTGATGCATGCTGCCTAGAGGTTCTGTGGAGAGTCTCTCTGGGTCCGTGAGAGTGGACTTGCCTGGGGTCTTTGACAGCTCCCTCAAGTATGGCATAGTCATTTCAGAGGGATCAGTTCTCTGTTGCTCCACGGAAAGTGGAGTTAGCTCTAATATCTTGGAAATAGTCCCAAATCTCAAAGATTCCAGCAGTCCCACCGTTCTACAAAAGGGAACTTCAAAAACATTTGACGTTAAATTTAACATTAAACAAATATTAAAATAAGAAAAATTTGAAATAAAATACATTTTTAAAAAGATACATTTTTTGGATTAAAGACCTCAACATCAGATCAGAAACCATAAGGTACATTGAAGACAAAGTTGGCAAAACCCTCCATGACATTGAAGATAATGGTATTTTCAAAGATGCCACGGCACTGGCCGAGCAAGTGAAAACAGAGATAGATAAATGGGACTATCTTAAACTAAGAAGCTTCTGCACCTCAAAAGAAACAGTGACCAAAATACAAAGACAGTCTACAGAATGGGAAAGTATATTGCTGAATACACATCTGACAAGAGGTTGATATCAAGGATATACAAAGTACTGGTTAAACTCCACAAGAAGAAAACATCCAACCCCATCAAAAAAATGGGGCAATGAAATGAACAGAGACTTTCTCAAAGAAGAAATCCAAATGGCAAAAAAGCACATGAGAAAATGCTCTACATCATTAATCATCAGGGAGATGCAGATCAAAACCACAATGAGATACCAACTCACACCTCAGAGACTGGCCCACAGCCACAAGAACAAAAGCAACCGATGCTGACATGGATGTGGGGAGAAAGGGACACTTCTTCACTGCTGGTGGGAATGCCGACTGGTTCAGCCCTTCTGGAAAACAGTATGGACGATTCTCAAAAAATTAGAAATTGAGCTCCCATTTGACCCAGCAATAGCACTCCTGGGAATATATCCCAGAGAGGCAAAAATGTATAGTCGAAGTGACATCTGCACTTGTTTGTTCATTGCAGCACTGTTTACAATAGCCAGAAACTGGAAGAAACCTGAGTGCCCAAGAACAGATGACTGGTTAATGAAACTTTGGTACATCTACACAATGGAGTACTATGTAGCTGTTAGAAAAGATGAAGTCATGAAATTTACATACAAGTGGTACAACATGGAAAGTATGATGCTAAGCGAAATGAGTCAGAAAGAGAAGGATAGACATAGAAAGATTGCATTCATCTGGGGGATATAAAGTAACAAAATAGGAGATTAATACCCAAGAATACCTGAGATCAGCACCAGGAGGATTACTCCATAGCTTAGAGCCCAGCCGGGTGTTCTATGGGAAAGGACAGCTCGGATAGAGAGGGGAGCACCAAATAAAGGGTGTCTGGAGGATCCTCCCAGGAGGGGAGAGGCATGTTGAAAGTAGACTATGGACTGAACATGTTTGCCACTCAATGCCTCTTTTGCAGACCACAACACCCAAAAGAATAGAGAGAACAAAAGGGAATGCCCTGCCACAGAGGCAGGGTGGGATGGGGGGGATGGGGGTAGGAGGGATATTATCCATGGTAGTGGAAATGGGCACTGGTGGAGGGATGGGTGTTTGATCATTGTATAGTCGAGACCCAAGCATAAAAATTTATGGATCTACAACTGTACCTCATGGTGTTTCACCAATAAAATAATAAAAAAAAGATACATTTTTAAAAAGTTAGGGCTGGAGTGATAGCACAGCGGTAGGGTGTTTGCCTTGCACGTGGCTGGCTGGCCAAGCCAGGTTCAATTCCTCCGCCCCTCTCAGAGAGTCCGGCAAGCTACCAAGAGTATCTTGCTTGCCCCGCAGAGCCTGGAAAGCTACCCGTGACGTATTCGATATGCCAAACACAGTAATAACGAGTCTCACAATGGAGACGTTACTGGGCCCACTCGAGCAAATCGATGAACAACGGGAGGACAGTGTTACAGTGTGTTTAAAAAAGATCTACTGATTGGGGCTGGGAAGACTGCAGAGAGAGTAGGGCAGTTGCCTTCCACATGGCTGACCCGGTTTGATCGTCAGCATACTATATGGCCTGCCCATCTGAGCCCTGCCAGGAGTGATCCCTGAGCAGAGTCAGGAGTCAGCCATGAGCACTTCCAGGTGTGGCCTAACTTTTCCCCTCAATAAAAAGTTCTTCTAAATTACATAAGCATGATTTGTTTTAAACAAATATATAAATTTTCAAACTTATGGGGAAGAATTTAAGGTGGCAAGGCCTACACAGTAGGAAGAAGATGTGGGGTGCTGAGTAGCACAATCGTGGTGCCTGCCCAAACCTCTGATGCCCCAGCGTGAGTCAGATGTATTCGCCAAAGAGGTTGGGTATAGAGTTGAATCCATCTTTCACTTCATTATCATTGCACAATTAATAAAAAATTTTTATACAAAATGTGGGGTGAGTCCATTATGTGATGTTCTTTTAAAAGGTTATAAAACAATCTGGGGCCTGAAAAGACAGGCTGTGATAATTATGCTGTTAGATATGTAACGTTTTTATTAGTAAGTACGTATTTATTAGAATAATTTAAAACACTTGCATAAGAATTTACAATAAGAGATCAATAACAAAAAAGTGCTAAGTCCATTAAATACTACAGTTTAATAAAGTAAACTCCCTATAAGAGAGTTTGGGTGAAGACAGACATCTATTCCAACTTCACACTTTCATGAGAGTCAAATTATTTGACAATAAAGGTTGACACACACCTCAATATAAAGACAAGCATTTGATCGGCTGAAAGTTTAAACACTAGATGTATTTTTATTGCAAATTCCTGTAATACATTTACCTGCTACTTTAAGCTGAAACAAACAAACAAACAAACAAACAAACAAAAAACACCTTAATTTACTTAAAGAATGTGGAATATATCTCATGCAGGGAAGAATACAAATGCCCCCTCTGGCTTCACGTCTTTTGTGCAGTCAAGCTCAGCTGCTCTTCGAGCTCCACTTATGGAAATCTCATATAACCTTCTTGAGCAGGTGAAAACAAAAACTTATACAAAATGAGGATTTGACACAAATGTTTGTTGTAAAAGTCAGCTGGATCCAACTCAGAAATAAAGATTGTCTGTTTTTTTTTTTTTTGGTATTTAATTTTTTTATTTTATTTTATTTTATTTATCATTTTTTTATTAGTGAAACACCATGAAGTACATTTATAGACTTATAAATTTTTGTGCTTGGGTTTCAGTTATACAATGATCAAGTACCCATCCCTCCACCAGTGCCCATCCTCCCCCACCACGGGTCCTAGCATCCCTCCCACACCCCCCCCCCCTGTTCCACCCTGCCGCTGTGGCAGGGCATTCCCCCTTGTTCTCTCTCTTCTTTTGGGTACTGTGTTTTGCCAGAGGCATTGAGTGGCAATCATGTTTGGTCTATAGACTACTTTTAGCATGTCTCTCCCACCCTGGGAGGGTCTTCACAACGCCCTTTATTTGGTGCTCTCTTCTCTATCTGAGCTTCCTTTTCACCTAGCACATGTGGCTAGCCTTCAAGTCATGGAGCAAAATTCATGGTACTAATCTGAGCCATTCCTGGGTGTTAGTCTCCCATTTTGTTGCTTTATGTTCCCCAGATGAATGCAATCTTTCTGTGTCTATCCCGCTCTTTCTGACTCATTTCGCTAACATGATACTTTCCATGTAGTACCACTTGTATGTAAATTTCATAACTTCATCTTTTCTAACAGCTACATAGTACTCCATTGTGTAAATGTACCAAAGTTTCTTTAACCAGTCATCTGTTCTCGGGCACTCAGGTTTTTTCCAGATTCTGGCTATTGTAAAGAGTGCTGCAATGAACAAACAATTGCAGATGTCACTTCAACTATACCTTTTTGCCTCTCTGGGATATATTCCCAGGAGTGCTATAGCTGGGTCAAATGGGAGATCAAATTCTAATTTTTTGAGAATCGTCCATACTGTTTTCCAAAAGGGTTGAACCAGCCTGCATTCCCACCAGCAGTGAAGGAGGGTCCCTTTCTCACCACATCCGCGCCAGCACCTGTTGCTTTTGTTCTTGTGGATGTGGGCCAGTGTCTGTGGTGTGAAATGATATCTCATTGTTGTTTTGATCTGCATCTCTCTGATGATTAGTGATGTAGAGCATTTTCTCATGTGCCTTTTTGCCATTCGGATTTCTTCTTTGCGAAAGTTTCTGTTCATCTCCTCGCCCCATGAAAACATGAAAAAAACTCAAACATTTGTAAGAGAAAGAAAGAAAAAATGAAGAAAAAAGAAAGAAAAGAAAGAAAGAAAAGAAAGAAAAAGTGAAGGGAGGAAAGAGCAATAAATGGTCAAAGGCAACAGATCTTGACAGTTGGTTCAGTGCTTAACTGGCAGTTGGTGGTGTTGGGGTGGATGGGATGGGTCTCTGGAATATTGGTGGAAGGAAACAGACACGCAGGTGTTGGGTGTGGTGTTGGAACCATGTATGCATTAAAGTATCATTAGCAGTATCATAAATCATGGTGCCTCAATAAAAATGGGAGGAACATGGAAAATTTTAAATAGAGATGCCAGAAAGATAATATGGCCGGTAGATAATACACATGCCTTGCACGCATCCAACCCAGGTTTTGATTCCCAATACCATAAATAGTCCCCCGAGCCCACCAGGAGTGATCCCTGAGCACAGAGCCAGGAATAAGCCCGGAGCACTGCTGAGTTTGACCCCAAACCAAAATAACAACAACAACTAATGGGAAAAAACAACATTGTTAAAATGACCACCTTACCCAAAGTACTATACAGATTCAATGCAATACCCACAAGAATTCCAATAATTAACTTTTTTCAAAGATGTGGAATAAGCTCTACTAAAATTGGTATGGAACCACTAAATTCCCCCAAACAGCCAAAGCAAATTCCTGAATTCCTATCATCCCCCAAAGCTGAAGCAAGAAGATATAGAGTACCTGAATAGACCTATTCACATCAAGGAAATTGAAACTGTAATCAAAAGTCTTCCCAAAAACAAAAGCCCAGGTCCAGATGGATTTACTAGCGAATTTTTCCAAACATTTAAAGAGGACCTATTGCCAGTTCTTCTCAAGCTTTTCCAGGAAATTGAAAAAACGGAAACTCTCCCAAACAGTTTCTATGAAGCCCATATCTCTCTAATACCAAAAGGAAACAAAGACACCACAAGAAAAGAAAACTACAGGCCGATATCCCTGATGAACACGGATGCGAAGATTCTCAACAAAATACTAGCCAATAGAATTCAACAACTCATCAAAAAGATCATACATCATGACCAAGTAGGATTCATCCCAGGGATGCAAGGATGGTTCAACATTCGGAAATCAATCAACATAATCCATCATATCAACAAAAGAAAAGATAAAAATCATATGATCATATCAATAGATGCAGAGAAAGCATTTGACAAGATCCAGCACCCATTCATGATGAAAACCCTTGCCAAAATGGGGATAGAGGGTACTTTCCTCAATATAGTTAAAGCCATCTACCACAAATCTACAGCAAACATCATCCTCAATGGGGAAAAACTGAGAGCCTTCCCCCTAAGGTCAGGGACGAGACAAGGATGCCCACTCTCTCCACTGCTGTTCAATATAGTACTGGAAGTACTTGCAATAGCGATTAGGCAAGAAAAAGATATTAAGGGCATCCAGATAGGGAAAGAAGAAATTAAGCTCTCACTATTCGCAGATGACATGATACTATACTTAGAGAACCCTAAAACCTCTACCAAGAAACTCCTAGAAACAATAGGCTTGTATAGTAAAGTGGCAGGCTATAAAATCAATACCCAAAAATCCATGGCTTTCCTATATGCAAATAGTGAAAGAGAAGAAAGTGACATGAAGAAAACAATTCCATTCACAATTGTGCCCCAGAAAATCAAGTACCTAGGAATCGCCTTAACTAAGGAAGTAAAGGATCTGTACAAAGAAAACTACAAAACGCTACTTCGGGAAATAAAAGAGGACACGAGGAAATGGAAAAATATCCCCTGTTCATGGATGGGGAGAATCAATATTGTCAAAATGGCAATACTTCCCAAGGCACTGTACAAATTCAATGCAATCCCTATAAGGATACCCACGACATTCTTCAAAGAAATGGAGCAAACACTCCTGAAATTTATATGGAACAATAAGCCCCCACGAATAGCTAAAGCAATTCTTGGGAAAAAGAAAATGGGAGGAATCAACCTACCTAACTTCAAGCTCTACTACAAAGCAGTAATAATCAAAACAGCATGGTACTGGAACAAAGGCAGAGTTGCAGACCAATGGAACAGAGTTGAATATACTGACCTCCTCCCAAACATATAATCATCTAATCTTCGATAAGGGGGCAAGAAAAGTGAAATGGAGCAGGGAAAGCCTCTTTAATAAATTGTCCTGGCAAAACTGGACGGCTGCATGCAAAAAAGTGGGCTCAGATCTCTGCCTAACACCATGCACAAAAGTAAGATCGAAATGGATTTATGACCTCAACATCAGACCGGAATCCATAATGTTTATTGAAGACAAAGTTGGCAAAACTCTCCACGATATTGAAGTTAGTGGTATCTTCAAAGATGTCACGCCACTGGCCGAGCAAGTGAAAACAGAGATAGACAAATGGGACTATCTTAAACTAAGAAGCTTCTGCACCTCAAAAGAAACAGTGACCAAAATACAAAGACAGCCTACAGAATGGGAAAGAATGTTCAAATACACATCCGACAAGGGGTTGATATCAAGGATATACAAGGTACTGGTTAAACTACACAAGAAGAAATCACCCAACCCCATCAAAAAAAGATTGTCTGTTTGGCATTGAAAATTATCTCTTTTATCACAAGCCTAGTGGATAATGCAATCAGCACAAGTGCCCAGCATACTGTTTATCTAATAAAGTACTTTAACAATCCACACTTTTCAGCCAAGTAAACTATTTCAGAGAAGTTCCTGAAATCACATTCAGTGGTATTAAATGCAGCAGGCCTGACACCACCTCCTGTCTGCTCCCACAGCGAAGTTGCCAAATGTTGTGGTTTCCAACCATTGGCTCATGGACTGCTGATGGTCAATAGATATAAAAAGGCTGGAAACCTACTGACCTTAAGAAGCAGACATATCTTGGAGAGAAATATGTCCTAAAACAGTGAGGACAAGGATAGAGATTCAGTACATTCATAGGATGCTTGCCTTGCCATTGCTGACCAGGATTTGATTCATAACATCTCATATGGGTCCCTGAGCCCTACCAGGATTGATCCCTGAGTAGGGGAGTAAGCCCTGAACAAATACCCAAGGTGTGGCCTAAAAACAAAAATAAAACAGTGAGCACATGATATGTTACTGCCAATTGCTACCACTGCTCAACGAAATCTGGTCCTGCCTTCTAGGGGCCAACAAAGATAAGAAATAGCATATTCACTTGTTCTTTCTGCAACTATTATCACCACTGATACAAATTAAAAAAATATAAAGGAGAGCACTGAAGTGAAAATATGGGGTAGAACAGAACATGGTTCAAAGAAATCAGACCTCCCAAATTGTTAACAATTTCAAACAGCACAGTTTGATTCATGGTGAAATACAGGAAAGCAACAGAAGTATTTACCTTCTATATTATTCTTTTTTGTTGCATTGACTAAAAAGAGATCCCAGGAATAAGACAGATTTGTTATTTCACTGCAGTCTTCACACTCGACTTGAAAAGAAAGTTCTTCATTCCAATTAACAAAGATGTCTTTGAAGTTAACTTGGGAGATGTGGACGAATCTACAACATGAAAGTCAGTTTGGGGATTACAGGAAGACATGTGGGATACCCTTAGCTACATTTATTCCTAGGCATGACATCATGCTCTTCTGAGCCACTTCTGCATGATTTAATAGTACTGACACAGCAAGTGTCCAAGTGCCTGTGCTGTGGCCCAGTTTTCCCAGATGCAGCCAGTCTGTCCTCACAGACAATGGCTAGGTTCTAGACAACAGGCCCTGAACTCGGAAAGGATTTGGAATGCTTCCGAGCCACAGAGCTGAGAGAACAGGAAGCAGGTCCTGAGCCCAGGACTCCGCCATGCAAGGGGAACCATCCTCCTTTCTTCCCTCACTCTGGGTTTGTTTCTACAACACAATGGCAGCCTGTGCCCAGGATCATTCCCGTCCAGTCCAGCATGGACATCTGTTACTGTCACTGGCTTTGGTTGCTCACAGGGAAAGATGCTGCTTCTCTTTTGATACTGTTCCTCTTCCTGTATGCTTGATCATGTCTCATACCCAAGATCCTCCATGTACTTCCCTTGGGTTTGCATCCCTGCAATATGCCATGCTCTGCACATATATAACTTCGATCTGTGCCTCCACATTCAGCCCAGGGCAGGGGACCTTGAAGATCATGGCACACAAGAATACAAAAGGTCACCACCCATGGATGGGTCTGCCTCTCTATGTAGTGTGTGTCTGTATATCATGTATGTCTTTTGAGTGTGTATGTGTATACAAATATGTGTTTATACATATTTGTGTATATGTGTGTGTTTTGTCACTCCATAAATGGTAAATTTATATGTTGAAGGTGTAGAATAGGGGAAAAGACATAAAAATGGGGATGGACACGAGCAAGGGGAGGACCATTGGCTCAGAGTTCTGAGGGACATTACTGCCACAGGTGTACATAATTCCCTAACAGATACTAATTAAATAATTTTAGTACACATTGAAAGAATATTTAATATTTATTTAATATTTAATATTTAATAATAATAGTTAATACTATTCAATAATAAATAATAATTAATATTTAAAAATATCATTATTATTAGAGTGGAGAATTATGTATTTTTTTTCAACATTGCAATGAGCCCATAGTAATGTTGGTCCTCATCCCCAGAGCCAACAAAATGTTTTTGTCCTCTGTTCCATTCCCAAGCTCTTGAGGTACCTTGTTGGAGCACTTGCTATCTTGGAATGGGGCCACACTTACAATGCACTGAGTTCCCACTAGGAAAGCCCAACATATAAGCATTATTTAGTTAACTCTGCTAAACCAGGGTAATTCCTGGTCCTTCTTGGCCAGTGTACTTCCTTTTATCAGTGGGGATCCTGTTTGATGAACTCCCAAACCTTTGCGTAAAGCAGATACCTGCAGGCACTTTCACTAACATCTGGGAATGGAAACAGTAAATCTGTCCCCCAAGACAACCGCTGAGGGGAGGTGAGGGAAAGGTGGTACCTGAGTGCAGAATCAGAGTGGGTAGACAGAAACACACGTGTCTCTGAAGAGTTCCGGCCAGCACTGGACACTGTTAGTGACACTATAAACTGATCATAGCTGTCACTAAGAGAGTTTGCTGTGAACGTCAGGGTAGAAGTCCTGGTATTCAAGCTGTGTGGAGAGGAAGTGGTGAAACATGGGTGCTTCTGAGTGCTAGTCGCGGTACATTTCCAGTAATACCTGCAGAGAGACCCAAGAGAAAATTTAGCTTGATCAGCCTTGTCAGGTGATGTGTAACACTAAGGAGCTTTCTCTAGGAGTGATAGCACAATGGGTAGGGCATTTGCCTTGCTCGGGGGCCGACCCGGGTTCGATTCCTCCATCCCTCTAGGAGAACCCAGCAAGCTACCGAGAGTATCCCACCCTCATGGCAGACCCTGGCAAGCTCCCCGTGGCATATTCGATATGCCAAAAACAGTAACAGCAAGTCTCACAATGGAGACGTTACTGGTGCCCGCTCGAGCAAATTGATGAACAATGGGATGAGAGTGATACAGTGCTACCTTAAGGGAGCACATAGCGGGGTATCAGGAGAGGCCCTATTCTTTGAGCGCTGAACTTTTAGGTAGACCTGCTTCTAGTTCTCCCCGCACTCCCCACCCCGTGGACTATTCCACTGATTCCATTGCCTTTTTCTGTATACCCGCTCAAGCAGGCCTTTGCAAACTTCAAATCTCAAAGTCCTAAAGAGTAAACAGCAAAACCGAATGAGCCCAGGTTTAGGATAGAAATGCACTGTGAGTGATTTAAAAAGTAGCCCAGACAGAATTATGATGTTGATGGGCCAGAGACAAATCCCAGAGCCACAAGTCTGAAACGTACAGATCTCTGTCAAACGTGACAGTTGGAGTTTTCAACAATTGAGAAGAGAGTGCCATCCCTAGCGTCATTCCCAGCCTTGGGGTAATCATGTATTATACTTTGCTTTTTATTTATGTATTTATTTTTATTTTGTAGTCTTTTAAATTTTACAGGACACTATGGTTTACAAAGTTATTCATGATTGTGTTTCACATATACACCAACTCCATTCTCAGCATCAACTTTCCTCCACCAATGTTCCCAATTTCCTTCCCACCCCCAGGCTATCTTTAGGAGTGGCACATTTTTAGGCACTGTGGTTTACAAGACTGTTACTTATAGGGTTTCATGCATGACCCATTCCAGCTCTATATCCTCCACAAGAGTACCACCTCTCCACCTCCATTGCCTTTTCAGTGATCTGTCTCCCTCCTTTCCGTCTTCCCTCCTCTGTGGTCTACATCTTAAAGAAGGCCAGTTCCAAGTTTCATTTGCCTTTGGGCATTTATTATTACTCTATGATGTTTTTGTTATATATCTCCCATATGACAGACATTATTTAGTATCTGTTCCTCTTGTTCTGACTAACTCCACAGAGCAAGATACTCCCCAGATTCGTATGCGCATAGCAGCAGATTACACATTTTCACCTTATTTTGTAGCTGCTGAGCAGTGTTCAATTGTGTATGTGTACCAGAGTTTTTACTTTTTATTTTTGGGCAACACCTGGCAGTGCTCAAAAATTACTCCTGGCTCTTCACTCAGGGATCACTCCTGGCAGGCTTGGAGGACCAAATGAGGTGCCAGGGATTAACTATGCACAAGGCAAGCACCTTATCCACTATACTAGCTCTTTAGCTCCCATCCTACTTTCTATTTTTTTTTTGTAACTCAGAGATTACATTGTATTACTGAAACTCAGTCATGAATAATTTTGTAATTGTGTATCTCAAGATGATTCAATAATTAAAAAAATTAGGGGAAATAGAGCATTCAGATTGTAATAGAAGTCAAACTCAGCATTTGAAGATGACACAATCTACTACATAATTGAAGATGACAAGCTTTTACTATGCTTGTAAAAGCCTGAAGACCACAAGAAAGCTTCAAGAAACAAAGGTTAAAACATCAATGTGCAGAAATCCATGGCTTTTATATATACAAACAATGAAGTAGTGAGGCAGGTAGCAGTCAGATGGGGAAAGGCCCCTCACAGCAATGAATTCTTGGAAAGAAATAAAACCAACAGCCCAGAGCTGCAAAAGCCCACCTTGTGGAGATAGGAATAAAAACCTGATAAGACTTATCTGAGCCAGCACAGACATGGAAGAGGCTGCTCCTTGGAGAGAAACTTGGGGAGAAACAAAGGCTGGGAAAAGAGTTTTAAAGATCATCAACTATTCCACCTCTACCCTCTGGGCAATCACCCTAGCAATGGACTCGTACCTAGGTAGAAAATCCCACGTGGGGCAGCTTAGGAGAAACCCTATAAAAGGCAACTTGAACAAAGGACGCACATACATATGCTGCCTGAGCCCAGGTGCTGACTGTGTCTATGTGTTGCTGCTGAATGCATGTGGTGCCCAAGCACATATGTCACCCACATCTCCCTCTTGTTGAGATGTGGTCTTTCATATGTTCACACTTAATGCTGGGGTGTATACTGGGGCTCCTTCTCCAATCTGGAGAATCCCAAATTCTGTCTTAAGTGTGTTTCTCTCTCTCTCTCTCTCTCTCTCTCTCTCTCTCTCTCTCTCTCTCTCCCGACTCCCCCCTTCTTCTAAACTTCCAAATAAAAAAATATGTTATAATTCACTGCTCATCTTCTGAAATTCCTAAGTTCTACAACTGACTTTATTTTCCTGCAAGGAGCACAGTTCACAGTCCTAGATTTCCCCAAGCTATTCCCAGGTAGCAGAGGTGGGTACAGATAAAACTGCAAATTTCCTTCTAGAGCTTGCAGTCTCTCTCCTCCCCACTTCACACAATTCACCTGGAGACCCCACTGGCATCACTAGGAAAGAGAGAAAATGAAAAGGCCAATTCCATTAACAATTGTTTCTCAGAATACACAAGGAAAACCTAGGAATTAGTTTAACAAAAGAGGTAAATGACTTGTACAAATAAAACTATAAAATATAATTAAAATATATAAAAGAAGATATGAGGAAATGAAAACATATTCCCTATCTCTGAATTGGGAAGATTAACATTGCCAAAATGATGACATTGCCCAAAGCATTATACAGATCTGATGCAGTTCCTAGAAAAATACCCATGACATTTTCTAAAGAAATAGATCACATGCGAATTGCATGACGATCATGCTATTTGTGGCAATATTGATGGAACTGGAAGACATCATGTTGTAAGTAAGTAAGAAGAAGAAGGATAAATAAACACAAGATGTTATTACTTATATAAGGTATTTAGAGTAACTCGATGAGGAAATGCAATGTTGTAAAGGGGGGATTCTTTTAAAGATCACAACTTTGGTTTCAGAACATAGGAAGAAGGAAAAAGAGTGAATAGGAGAGGGAGAGAGGCAGATGAGAAGCAATAGGGGCCTAGGGGATAAAGGTACAGAGGTGGTATAGGAATTATAGAGCCAAATATCCAAACCACAGCGTTAGTAACACTGAAATCAAGAGATCCAAACTTTAATACCCTAATTTAAAAGGTGCCTGTCAAAATGGCCAAATGGGCTGCGGTAGAAGAATGGGAGAGAATCTAGGAAGTTGATGGAAGGAAGTTACACAGGTGGCAGAATTGGTGATAGAACACTATTACAAAACCTAGTTATGAATAACTTTGCAATTCACAATGCTTTAATAAAACAAAGTTTTGGGGAAAAAAGAAGCTCAAACTATAATAATCACACTTAGGTGTCTGGCAGGCTAGAGAAAGGGATATTGGAGGGAACCTGGGAACATTGATGGAGGCAGGCTGACACTGGTGGTGGGATTAGTGCTCAAAAAATGTATAAATCTACTATGAATAACTTTTAAAATCATGGTTCTTCAATAAATATATATAGTATGTATAGACATATAAATTGATTAATATAGTATGTATATAAAATATATATACATATGTAAGTGTGCGTGTGCGCACGCGTGGGCGTGCGCGCGCGCGCGCGTGTGTGTGTGTGTGTGTGTGTGTATTCTGCTGCCTGATAGGGGAGTTCTCTCCTCTAGTACCTGTTCATGCATATGCATGTGCCTTAATAAATGTCTACTTAATGCTTCAAAAAGGAAAAAACAGAAATTTGATCAAATAAATGCAGCTACAATTTATATAAAGTTATAACCCCACCACACTCCTGCAAATAACAAGAGCAATTCCAGGAAAAAGAAGATGGGAGGCTTTACTTTCCCCAACTGTACTTCTAACAGTACTGTAGAGCTCTGGTAATTAAAACAGGGTCATAGTGGAAAAAAGAACAGGCTATCAGATAAATGGGATAGAACTGAGAACCCAGAGACAGATCATCAGATATATGGGTAATTAATCTTCAGTGAAGGGCAAAATATAGGAAGTGGAGTAAAGAAATTCTTTTCAATAGAGGTTCTGGGAAAACTTGTCAGTTACATTCAAAAAAAGAATCCTGATCCCTTCCTAACACACATGCAAAAGGCATATCAATGAGGATTAAAGACCTTGACATCAAACTTGAATCCATAAGTTATAACGAAGAAAACATAGAACACTTAATGTTATGGAAGCTAAAAGTATCTTCAAGAATTCAATGCCGTTGGCCAAGAAAAAAGAAACAAAGATAAAAAAATGGAGTATATCAAATTAAGAAGCTTCTACATCTCAAAGGAAAGTATGACCATTATAAAAAGACAACCCATGGACTGGGATATTTGCCCATAACTAGGGTTAGTTTTCAAGACATATAAAGTATAGATAGTACTTCATAAGAAAAAAAATTCAGCACCATAAAAAATAGAAAGTAGTGATTAACAGAAACTTCCTCAAAGAGGACATACAAACAGCCAAAGGGAATAATCGCCTGGGAAATGCAAATCAAAACAACAGTGAGAAACTATCTCATACTAGAGCCACTGGTACACATCAAAAAGAACAAGACAACCAATGCTGACATGGATGCGGGGAAAAGAGATCTTCATAAATTGCAGTTGGGAATATCAGCTGGTCCAAGACTGTATTGAAAAACAATACAGACACTTCTCAAAAATTTAATAATTGAGTGTCAATTTGGCCTTAAGACAATCCAGTGGACTACAAAGTGCAATAACTGCTTCACCAAGGGAAGCTGCTGGGTTGGGTACTTGTACAAATCTCATAGTAATGAAAACTGAGAAGATGCCACCCAAGTCTTTGAAATTCTGTTTATCTTCCAGAGTTCCATTTTCCTATGTAAATTTAAGGAAGTTGAACATGGCATGACTTCTAAACCTCATCAGATCATCAGAGTACCAGAAGGACAGGGAGGCAACCCCAATGAAGTAGTAGCAGTTAAAGATATCATAGCTAAGAAGTTCTCAGAATGGGAGAATGCAGGCATCCAGATCCAAGAAGCCTGAAGGGTACCAAATAGTCCCAAAACTCTCCAAAATAATGGTGAACACAAGAGACCCTAATAAAAGACTCCAAGATATACCATAATCAGAACGATGAATACCACAGATAGAGACACAATACTGCAAGCAGCAAGGTCAAAGAAGAAAATCACATACAGATGAGCATCCCTTAGATTTACAGCAGACTTATCAGAGGAAATAATCTAAGCCTAAAGACACTGATGGGATATAGTGGAAAAAAAACTGAAAGAAATTAATGCCTCACCAAGAATACTTTATCCAGCTTGACTCTCACTTAGACTCGAAGGAATGATACACTATTTCATGGATAAACAACAGCTCAGAAACTTCAGAGACTCAAAAACAACCTTGAAATAAGGACTAAACGGGTTACGTAAGACAAGACAAACCCCACAAGACAAACTTCTACAGAAAGATGGCACAAAACCCCTTGACAATAATCTCTCTCAATGTCAATGGTCTAAATGCACCAATCAAGAGACACAGAGTGAAAAAATGGATTAAAAACCTAAATTCAACATTCTGTTGCCTACAGAAACACATCGAACAGTCAGAGCAAGCACAGACTCAAAGTCAAAGGATGGAAAACAATCCTTCAAGCAAACAATTCCCTCAAAAAACCGGGGGGGGGCATACTAGTATCTGAAAACATAGATTTCAGGATGAAAAAGATTAGAAGGGAAAGTGAAGGTCATTTTTTAATAATCAAGGGATATGTACATCAGGAAGAAATCACACTCCTAAACATACACGCACACACAATGAGGGGCCAACAAAATACTTAAAACAACTGCGAACAGACTTCAAGGAGAACATTGACAGCAACATATAGTATATGTTGGTAGCATATTGGTAGCAACAATAGTGGTCAGAGAATTCAACACCACTTTATCACCTCTTGATAGATCAACAAGACTAAAACTCACCAAGGAAGTACTGATTCTGAAGGAAGAAATGGAAGAGAGAGCTAATAGATGTATAAAGGGCTTTTTATTCCCCCCAAAACTGAATGCACATTCTTTCCAAGGCACATAGAACATTTTCCAAGATAGACCATGTACTGGGTCACAAAACAGACCTCAATAGAATCAGGAAGATAGAAACTGTATCAACTATCTTTTCAGAATATGATGTACTGAAGATAGAAGTTAATCACACATAGGAAAGGAGAATGAAACCAAACCCCTGGAAATTAAACAGCTCCATGTTGAACAACTAGTGGGTTAGAGAGGAAATCAAGGAAGAAACTAAAAAGATTCCTGGAAACAGATAAGTATGAAGACATGAGCTACCAGAACTTGTGGGATACAGCTAAAGCAATGTTAAGGGGAAAATTTATAGCTCTGCAAGCATTCATCAAGAAGGAAGAAGGGGCCCACATAAATAACTTGACTTCTCAGCTTAAGATCTTAGAAAAGGACCAACAAAAGCAGCCCAAACCAGGTAGGAGGAAAGAAATAATAAAACTTAGAGCAGAAATCAATGAGCTGGATTTCCAAAAAACAATCCAAAAAATTAATGAAACCACGATTTCGTTAGTTAATTTCAATAAACCAAGACTCTGAATAATAAACAATATTGATTTACCATAGCCAGTCTGGAAACAGCCTGAGTGCCTAAGAACAGATGAATGGATAAAGAAACTATGACACATCTACACAATGGAATCCTATGCAGGGCCTTTAAGAAAAATGAAGTAATGAAATTTGCTTTTAAATGAATGGACATGAAGAGTATGATGTTAAATGAAATGAGTCAGAAGGAGATGGTTAGCTATAGAATTAGTGAATTCATTTTTGGTATCACTGTATCACTGTCCTCTCCTTGTTCATCGATTTGCTCAAGCAGGCACCAGTAACGTCTCCATTGTGAGACTTGTTGTTAATGTTTTTGGCATATCGAATACATCACAGGTAGCTTGCCAGGCTCTGCCGTGTGGGTGAGATACTAAAAAATATATAGTAGAAGACTAATATCCATGTCCAGGAAAAACAGGGATTAGGAGAACTGGTCAGTGATTGGATCTAACCACAAGTATGTGGGGCTGAGGGGAAGTAAGATAGAGAATAAACCAGCATGACAATAATGGCTGGGAATGATCATGCTGGACAAGAACTTAGTGTTAAAAGTAGGTAAAGGGATATTCTTGAAACCTTTCAGTATCAATATTGCAAACTATAATGCTGAGACAGAGAGAGATAGAGAAAGTGAGAGAGAGAGAGAAAGAGAGAAGAAAAGCACCTGTCATAGAGGCAGGCAGGGGGCCGGGGGATGGGGATGATGGGAGGGAACCTGGGGCCACTGATACTGGGAAATGTACATTGGTGGAGGGATGAGTATTGGAATACTGTATAACTGAAATCCAACCACGAACAGCTTTGTAAGAGTCTATCTCACAGTGATTCAATTAAAAAGTTAAAAAGAAACAAAACAAAACCTGGTATCAGACTAATACTCAAGGACAGAAGAAACAAGGGCAGGAGAACTGAACCAATTGGACCACGGTTGGAAGCTTTCTTCAAGAGCTGGGAGGATAACGCACTTTGGATCAAGAAAGACAATTATGACAATGATAGAAATGATCACTCTGGACAAGAACTGAGTGCTGAAAGTAGGTAGAGAAACAAACATGATAACCTCTCAGTACCTATATTACAAAGCATAACTGCCAAAAGGGGGAAAGATAAAGAGAGCGAAAGAAGTCATAGAAGCAGACTGGAGAGGGGAACTGGAAACATTGGTAGGAAAGCTACAGTGGTTGAGGAATGGGTGTTGAAACATTGTATGACTGAAACTCAATCATGAGCAGCTTTGTAACTTTGTATCTCATGGTGATTTAATAAAAATAAATAAATTTATTAAAAAAGAGCATATGTACACCATTATTTATTAGAATGCTGTACTCAGTATAATAGCTAACAGTTGGATACAACCTAGATGTCCAATGACAGATAAGTGGATAATGAAGATGTGGTATATTTACACAATGGAATACTACACAGCTGTTAGGAATGATAAAATTGGAGGCAACATGGATGGAGCTGGAAGACATCATGTTAATAATGAAGTGTGCCAGAAGAAGGACAAACACAGGATGATATTAGTTATATCTGATATTTAAAATAATTGTATTAGGAAATGCAATATTTTATATGAGGAATGCCCACAGTATAGGGAGGAGAAGAAAAGAAACAGTGGAGGGGAGGGGGAGCTGAAACAGACAAGAAGCAACAGGCCAGGGGGGTCAGGAGAACCCAGGAACATTGGAGAATGGAACTTGACACTGATGGTAAGATTAGTACTGCAATATTGTATGAAAATGAAGTATGAACAGCTTAAAATCTCAGTGCTTTAATTTTTTAAAAGTGTTTTTAAAAAACGGGGTTAGAGTCCACACAGTTAGCTTTCCCCTCTACCATGTGAGGACATCGTGAACAAACCAGTTCACAAAACTAAAAGATGATCTTCATGATATATTGAATGTTATTTTGACTTGATCTCGACACCCATCATTCAAAACTGTGATAAATTTCTACTTCTTGTATGCCACCCAGTCTGTGACTACTGTTATAGCAGCTTGAATGCTCTATAATATTTAAACCTCATATTACAAATATACCATAAATATCAATAAAAAAGCTATGCTTTATTCCTCCCTTTAAAAAATTCCCATATATTTACACATGGCATATGCCCTCATATACAGGTATGTATACATATATGTATATATGTACATATGTGTTACATATACATATAAGAATCATTTGTTCAGGTATACTTACATTTTTAAAAGTTACTATGTCACTTTGTGGGTATTTACCCCCAGGACATAAATTCTCTCAAAAGGACATATGCAAACCATTATTAATTGCTGCACTCAGTACAATAGCTAAGATAAGGAATCAACCTAGATGTTCAATGATAGTGGAATGGATTATGAAGATGTGCAGCTGCAAATAACAAGGATATCATATAATTTGCTGCAACCTGGGTTGAATCTGGAAGGTATCATTTTGTGTGAAGTAATCCAGAAGATCAAACACAGTCACAGGATTTTCTCACTTACTTGAGGCATATAGAATACTAGATGAGGAAATGCAGTAAAGGGCATGCCTAGAACAGCCTTGACCCCAATGTTTAGAGAGGAGAAGGACTGAGATGGAAAGAAATCAAAGGGGCAAGAAAAGAACAGGAATTAATAGATGAAAAGGCATCGGGGCTTGAATTATATTGGTGATATGGGTGAGTGCTACATCCATATATCTAAAACACAGGCTCAACAACACTGAAAATATGAGATCTAAGCTGCAGTCACTGGAAATTTGTCATGTGCTTCTCAAGTTGACAGGGTGAGGGAATGAGAGGTGGGGAATGGGGTGGAGGTTGGGAGATGGGAGAAAATACAGGAACACTGGTGGAGGGAAGCTGATACTGTAGTGAGATTCATCTTGAAATATTATATGCCTAAAACTCAGCTATAAATAACTTTGTAAAACATAGTTATTTAATTAAATTCTTAAAAAGTTATTGTGGCAGAAGTCTGTAACTCTTCCAACCTCCTGTTCCTGAGTTTGATGAGGTAGAAATCAGAGCAAACAGCAGTGCTAAGATGAGCTGACCCCTTCTTTGGTACTCACCGGAGAGTGGCTTCAGGGTAGTCTGGGTCATAGGACTGGGTCCCCCTGAGGATGACAACAGAGGTCCTGGAGATGAAGAGGTGTGTTCCCCCAGAGATCACACTGACGGGAGCCCGGGCTCGCACCTCCACCTCTACACTGTAGTTGCTATGCACAATACTCCCTTCCACTTGGACCTGTAAGATTAAGGACAGAGGGTTACTCGGGGGGCAAGCAGGCTCCTCTCAGGAGCTGGGTTCAGGAGGTCTTAAAATGAAAAAGAAAATGTAAGTTTAAATGTACCCTCTGGATCCAACTGGATCATGAGATTCCCAAACTAAATATATTTGATCCCTTTCCCCTTTTCAAAAAAAAAAAAAACATTTTTCTTGCCTAACCGCTATGGCAAGTACTGATAGAGAAGGGACCAGTGTGATGAGAATAATAATTAGAAATGATCAAAATGATCACTGTGGGCAAGAATTGAGAGTCGAAAGTAGGTAAAGTGATATACATATTACCTTTCAGTATTTGTATTGAAACCCATAATGCCCAAAAAGAAAGGGAGAGAGTGATACAGAGAGAGAAAGAGAGAGAGAGAGAGAGAGAGAGAGAGAGAGAGAGAGAGAGAGAGAGAGAGAGAAAGTGCCTGACATGAGGGCATTGGGGGTGGGAAGGAGAGAGGAAAACCGGGGATATTGCTGTATTGGTGGTGGGGAATGTACAATGGTGGAGGGATGGTTGTTGGAATATAACTGAAACCCAATCATGAACAACCTTGTAATTGTGTCACTGCCACTGTCCTCCCGTTGCTCATCGATTTGCTCGAGCGGGCCCAGTAACGTCTCCATCATGAGACTTTGTTGTTACTGTGTTTGGCATATTGAATACATTACGGGTAGCTTGCCAGGCTCTGCTATGCAGGCCAGATACTCTCGGTAGTTTGCCAGGTTCTCCGAGAGGAGTGGAGGAATCGAACTCAGCCATGTTGGCTGTGTGCAAGGCAAATGCCCTACCTGCTGTGCTATTGCTCCAGCCCTTGTAATTGTGTATCTCACTGTAATTCAATAAAAAAAAATTAAAAAATATTTGCTCACTTTTCCCATGGAAATATACCTACTTTAAGTGAACAAAGAAAAAATGCCTGTCAATTGTACCCAAGGATATTGCTACCTCCTTAAATTGTTGCAGTGGCACCCCAGAGGGAGTGGGTGAGACTCCTCCCTGCCCCAAGGGACGCAGTCCCAACAGCCAAAAACCTCCAGAACTCAACAGCCACTATGCTCACAGTTGCTTTTCACACACTTGGGCTGTGTCTCACCCATGAGTGAATTTATTCCTGTTAATCACTGGGCTGGAGCGATAGCACAGTGGTAGGGAGTTTGCCTTGCATACAGCCAACATGGCTGACCGGAGTTCGATTCCTCCGCCCCTCTCAGAGAGCCCGGCAAGCTACTGAGAGTATCTCGCCCACGCAGCAGAGCCTGGCAAGCTCCCCGTGACGTATTCGATACACCAAACACAGTAACAACAAAGTCTCCAATGGAGACGTTACTGGGCCCGCTCAAACAAATTGATGATCAATGGGAGGGCCTTCACCTTTACCTTTACCTTAGTTCTTCCGTCACTGTCAGTCACTGTCATTGTCACTATCCTCCCGTTATTCATCGATTTGCTCGAGCGGGCCCAGTAATGTCTTCATCGTGAGACTTGTTACTGTGTTTGGCATATTGAATATGTCACGGGTGGCTTACGGGCGAGATACTCTCGGAGCTCGGCCGGGCTGGCTGTGTGCAAGGCAAACGCCCTACTGCTGTGCTATTGCTCCTGTTCTCCCCTAAATTAAAATTTTCTCTAGAAATCCTACCCATGCTTTATTCAAGAACTCCCTTTTCTTGACTAGAATAGGTATTAAGTGGCAGCCTTTGAACTCTTGTTGAAAAGCTTGGCAGCAGCAGTATGCTGCAGTGGTTCGTAAAGCCCCAGATACCTTGGCGGAAGCAGTGTAGTTGCCAGGCTCCAGAAAGTATCTGGGCACGACAAGAATCTGTCTGTGCGTGCTGACGGCAGGGGCCAGGGGGACCGGCCACCCCATGGAGTTCCTAAGGCTCCAGCTGTAAGAAAGGCCTTGAGAGATGTCACAGAGAACAGTGGCTTCAAACGTCACTCCTAATTCCACAGGCTGAGACCGCCAGACCTGATTATTAGAAAGGAAAGTTGTATCACCAACACCTCCATCAGACCTAATGTGAGAGGAAATGCTTAAGCATACATTCCCAATGTCAGGCTCTAGTTATTTGTATACTCACAGAGTGACACTAGGCTGCCCAAACCATAGAAAGCAGCTATATCCTTAAATTCAATAATTTGTAGGATTTATTCCTTTATAAATATAGACATGCGGTAAGCTTTTTGTAGGCCATCACCACCAATTATACTTGTAAGCATGAAAAGTTGGTAAAAGTAGCTTGAGAATGTGGACAGCCCCAACAGAAGTGTAATTTATGTGCATAACATTATATTGACATTCAATCCATGTAATCAAGACAAGTTAAAAACAAAAGAAAATGATGCACTGTTATGGCATCAATATGCACTGATAGAGTCATACACACAATATACACAGACAAACATAATAGACCTTACATAAAAACTTTGCAAAAATGTCATAAATAAATATGCAAGACAACCAACAGTGGCTAACTCAACAAAGCATCTTTATTTATATATTTATTTATCTCTCTATATAAATATTTTTGTTCATCCTTATACTGCTACAAAATGTAAAGAAAATTATAAGTAAAAATTAAATCAATATTACTAGTTTTTTTTTTTAATTTTCTATTCATCTACTTCACCGAAAGTCCACTGCTCCAAGGCACAGAACCACCTGCTCATGTCAGCCTAATGGAAGCCTGTGAGTATTGCCTATTAGGTCCCCCATATAGATCACCAGCCCTTACCCTCCACTGTGGGCTTCCCGGACCTTATGCCTATATGCCCTTTGATCTCTGTAACACATCTGGGGAAAAAAAGGTGCCCAACTCCCCGGAGTCAGCAATGAGACTATGCATAGAAAGTCTCAGAAAAAAATTAGAAAAATTAAGGTAAGTGATGTGATTTCAATCCCATGTAAAATTTCATTCTCATTTGGGTACTCTTGCCTCCCGAAAGGCGATTTTCTCTAAATCAGATGCCTCAAAACAATTTTTAAGAAAGTAACTCTTTCCTAACCAAAGGTATAGGATAATAAACACATCCTTTGATTTTTATATCACATACATTCACCTATAACCTTCTCCAAATTATTATTGTTATTATTATTATTTTGCTTTTTGGGTCACACCCGGAGATGCAGAGGGGTCACTTCTGACTCTGCACTCAGGAATTACCCCTGGAGGTGCTTGGGGGACCATATGGGATGCTGGAAATCGAACCTGGGGCAGCTGAGTGCAAGACAAATGCCCTCCCTGCTGTGCTATCGCTCCAGCCCCTCTAAATTATTTTTAAAAGAAAATTATAAGTTTTAAAAACTTTAATCTTATAATTTATAAAATTTATTAATTTATAAATTTATTAATTTATAAATTAAAATTTACAAAATTTAAAATTTAAAATTACTTTATTACTCTGATTTGACACCAGAGTAATAAAGTAAATAAAGTAAGCTAAAAGAGAATAATGAAATTCAAACACTAGAAACTTGTCTTTTCCCTCCTGTTAGCCTGGGGCACGTCAGTCAGCAACCTTCACAGTCTCCTTTGTGCTGTGCAGAGCAGAGACGTCACCTCCCCTCCACCCCCTAACTCTAGTCTGAGCTGATTTCATCTGATAGAATCTGAGAAAGACTTAGAAGTCTTCATCCTACCTGTACCTTCCCGGGTCCCAAATTCTTTATTGGGGGTGGCTGGCAGGGTTGGAGTGTGATGAACAGGTGCTTTCTGAGGGAGGCGGCACTGACATTATTGAAGGCAAGAACCTGCACAGTGAATTCCCCTTCCCTGAAGGGTGACAATGCATAGAAGAGATGGATGTTACCATGTGTCAGCGCCATCTTAAATCTGATCAAAAATCATATTAAATAAGATATGCCAGAGATAAAATAGAAACAAAAACAAAAGTTTGGTTTTTGGCTTATTTCCTCCGTGGCCATTTACCCTACCCTGTATCCTCCCCAGGAACTGGGATGAATCACCAAACTTATATCAAAGTTATCACTTTCTTATTGTATAAGAAATAGGAAGTCCTTTGAAGTGGCCCTGCTTGCCTCCTTAATCAACATCTGGACAGTTAAGCTCTGATTTATGTCCACCAGGGAAACCCACTGGTTCTCCTTTTGATGGATCACTGACCCTGACTGGGCATCTCTGCATGGTCTTTGCATTCTGTTTTCTGAGCCACTGATTATAGAATCACTATGAGAGAGTTACAAAGTTGTTCACGATTTTTTTTTCAGTCATAAAATGTTCCAACACACATCCCTCTACCAGGGCACATTTCCCACCACCAATTTCCCCAGCTTCCCTCCTGCCTGCCTGCCCCACCCCACCCCTGCAGCCTGCCTCTATGGTAGACACTTTTCTTCTCTTTCTCTCTCTTGCCTTTTTGTTTCTTCCTCTTTCTCTCTCTTATTTTCCTCTTAAGCACTGTGAGATTTTTTTTAAAAGTAGCATGTGGATAATACCCAAAGACAGTAGAAATAAGGATCAGAAGGACTGATAGCTTTTTTCTGACCCACTTTTTAGGTTCTACAAACCAAGGAACCTTTAGGTATATTCCACAGATTGGAAGTGTGACTGGTCCAGAGCAGGGCAGAGTCTACAGTTGTGAGGAGGGAAGGGTATATCAAGCACATTTTGATGATCAGGTCTTTTTAATGTGGAAATTTGTTTTCTTGAAAATGATACAAAATCAACAATTATATGACTTCTCAGAAAACAAAACAGTACTCACTAGAGGAATTCACCTGGAGCCTGCAATGATCAGAGTGCCAATTTCAATCTGGGACATCAGTAAAAAAACAAAGTCCAGCTCAAAAGAGCCATGACTAGGGTGCAGTTTTCATATTCTTGGGCAAGCAGAGCTCTCTGGGAAAATTGGGAGAGGATGGACAAGGCACAGATAAATCCAAACTGATGTTTGCAGTGCAAGAGAGGCCTATTTGGGCAACAGGGCACGTCAAAGAGTCCTTAAGTCTCAGGAACCCACTTGATAATGTTTCAGTTCCAGAAACTGTTACTCAGTCATTCCTCAAGAAACAACCTATTACTATGAACAATGCGTCAATGGAGAACCAGTGACAGGGCCATTCAGTTTCTCCCTCAAATGTGGAAAGGCCACAGGAAAGGTGTACTTTCACTTCCTGTAGAAGTAAGTCCTACATTGAAGGAGCGATACAATCTTTATCTGAGAACCTAGCCCAAATGGATCTGGTATTTTGGATGTTTCTATACTTTTATATTGCATAACTTAGTATACTAGCTGAGGCTCAACTTCCTTCATTTACATCTATGACAAGGAACCCACAGATAGGAAAGGTTCCATTCCTGGAATATATTAATCAAAATGTATGATTAAGTAGCAGCAGACAAAAGACCCTGAGGAGGGAAGAAGAGTGGTCACATTCCTTTTGTGGTTCTCGAAGCATGGTCACCTTTTCTAAAAATTTCAATGTTATTTTAGATTAAGGCAAGTATTGCTTTTGCTTGGACAGTCTAGTAAATACTTCATTTTCATTTCATTTCATCATTCTGTTATTCGTCGATTGCCTCGAGCAGGCCCCAGTAACGTCTCTTTCATCCTAGCCCTGAGATTATATTCAAGGCTATTTAGGAGAATGAGACCCATCATTGTTACTGGTATTTGGCATATTTGGTACACCACGGGGAGTTTGCCAGACTCTGCCCTGTGGGCAGGCTACATTCGATAGCCTTACTGATTCATAAATGACCAATTAAAGGGTATTACCCATGCCCCCATAGCCATGTCACTGGACTCCACGCCAGGCTGTCTTCACTCAGGGCGCTTCAGAGGGGGGTGGGTAAAAGCACTCCCTGCCCCAAGGGACCCAGCCCCGGCAACCAACCTCCACTACCCAACTGCTGCCATGCTCCAGGCCACTTTCCACATGCTCAGGCTGAGCCTCACGCATGAGTGAAGTCCCGTGGAATCCAGGTAATGCGGAACTTTGTGACCTTGGACTCTGGGATCAATGGGATCTGCCTGCTTCCCCCAGTCTCTGGGGACCCAGAGATCACACCCATAAGCCACCTCCTGCCGGAACCAGATAATCTCATCATGGGCCACACTCCAGAATTCACAGCTGCTTCTCCTGGAAGGGAGCATAAAATGAGGCCCCCATAGCCATGCCATGGGACTCTGCACTGGGCTGTTTTCACTCAGGGATCCCCAGAGGGGGGCAGGTGAGAGCTCTCCCCACCCCAAAGAACCCAGCCCCAGCAGCCGACCTCTACTACCCAACTGCCGCCATGCTCCAGGTCGCTTTCCCCATTCTTGGGCCGAGCCTCACATATGAGTGAAAATATTCCTGGACTACATGCAACACATCATAAGAGTCACAGAGGGAAATATATATTTCTTGGAGAGCCCGGCAAGCTACTGAGAGTTCCTGCCTACTAGCTACCCGTGGTCTATTGGATACACCAAAAACAGTAACAATAACAGGTCTCATTCCTCTGACCCTGAAAGTCTCCAATCATTGGGAAAGACGAGTAAGGAGAGACTGTTAAAATCTCGGGGCTGAGATGAATGGAGACATTACTGGCACCCACTCAGTAAATCGATGAATGATGGGATGACAGTGATACAGTGATCTAAGATTTTTGAAGTGACTCCAGATTACACAACTTTTTGTATTCACCTTCTACCTTTATTATTCACCTCCTACTGTATTTCTATCTTACTCACATCATGCCAGTCCCTTCCCTCTGCAGATTATTACTGTTTACCCCAATATACCATCTTTGGTTTGCCTTGGCTTCCCACTTGTCCATTTGGCAAACTTGCTCCACGGCATCCAGCTCACATATAAATGCTACTCTGAGTTGGCTTTGCAATTTTTCAAAAAAGGAAAAGCTGCCTATAAAAGTTACCTCTGTGTAGCATGTGTCCTGTCTGGCTTCCCCTAGACTGAGTTCCTGGAGAACAATAGCTGGGTGTAGGTTTTTTTTTTATATTACCTTTTATTTTTAATTAAAAATAGAATTTTTAAAAGAAGGGGAGTTATTTTTGGATGTCAGCACAAAGAACTCTTCGGATCAGTGTGAAAACCCAAAGGGCTGATGCCTAGACAACCATATTCCAGGCAGGGTATGCAAAGAGGTTCCCTTATACCTTACCTGCTGTAGGCATGGCTGGCGGAGCTATTCCCCAAGGCTACAGTCCCATCTCCAAAGTCCCAGAGGTAAGAAACATCAGTACCAGCATTAATTCTGCACTCGAAGTTCACACTGGCATTCACAAGTGCTGATGTGATGGATGCCAGGCGGTTGGCCCTGATTCGTCTCTGTAATCTGATGTGGTGGGGCTCAGAGACCACACTGCTGACACCATTGGAGGCCATGACTGTCACTTGATACCTGAGGAGGGGGCAGGCAAATAGTTAATAAGTCAAACAAGGTCAACAGAGAGAATTCACACAAGATTTTTAAGTGAAAGATGGCGTACGAAGGAATTTGATATTTAATTTGTGGAAATTGTTATAGAACTCAGTGGCTACCAACTTGCTGGGGGAAAGGCAGCAGCTTTTTGTCTGTTCTATTTTCACACTTAGTGCATCTCTCAGAGCAGTGGTAACACTATTCTCCTTAAATCAGGAATTTGCTTTGACCAAATGCTCAGTGCAGGTTAGAGATAGAATCTGAATCCAAGATTGATTTCAGTCTCATCCTCTATCTTGGCCAAAGGGATGGCATTCTCACCCCTTCAATTAACAGTTTTCCTCCTCTTCATTGAAGTGTCTAGAGGTTACATTTAACATTGTAACATTTTAAGTTATTTTAGTGTGAGCATGGTAATCCCCAGTGTCTGAGAAGGCTGCCTTGCAAGTAGCCAAAAAAAAAAAAAAACCAACACCCAAATAACCATTTTATACAGACCACTGGGGGATGCTGAGTTTTTTCTTAATGTTTCTTGAAGTTGTCTTCACAGGTGTTTCATCTCCAAAATACCAAGTGAACTCCAGAAGAGTTGTTTCCTTGGTCTCAGCTACAAAAGTGATGTCAGTTTCTGTGGCAAATACAGTTCCATTTGTGTAGACAGAGATGGCTATGACAGAGGAAAGGGAGGACAGGTGTTCAGGCATATAAAGACTGAGAAATTAGTACCCTCACATTCCTATGTAGTCATGGGTGAGTGAGCATAAGAAGCCAAGCAACCGGAATCCAGACAGACTGTGCTAGAGATTGCATAGAGTGACCTAATGACCTAGCTATATCTGAAATCCAAGGTCACCACCACAGCAGTGATTCATAACATGATATGGCAAATTGATATTTACTTTCACTAATCTTTTGGTGTTTTGAAGGACTAAGGTATACTGAAGCTAGAATATGCATGTGAATGCAGCATTTTATACCTTTAGAGTGAAGCCTTAATGGGGAGAGTTTCTAGAAAAGTCATGAAATTGTAGATGAAAATAGAATTAGTTCAAGGGCAAATAGTTTTTGGTAGAGTTCTTCACAGGACATGGTCCTTTTTTACCTTTGTGATTTCGTTTGTTAAATACAAAATAGGAATAAATACATACGCTGCATCTGATACCAAACGATCACGCTGTACCATCTCAGGCTATCATTCATTTGTATTGGCGAAGCAAAGGACACGTTATATGAAGAAATGGATGGAAACTGATGCATAATGACACTGTCTAAAATATAGAAAAGAAAAATAAGGAGGGTAATTCATAAAAGTAAGTTACTAGTTTCACAATACTGAGCAATTTCTTGTCTGCTTTCTCTGTAAATAAATTCCAAAATCCAAAAGAAGTGTTTTTGAAGAAATTTCCCAGTTTGGATGCCCAGCAGTGTGCTTGTGGGGAAGAGTTTCCTGATTTCCAGGGAGTGAGAAAACCTGAAGCAGGTTCAAAGCTACAACCTAGGCCAAAGCTTGGCTCCCCCCACAGATCGCCAGTTAATCTATGATGCAGCCACCAGTCAATTCCATAATTCATATTCCATAAGATCCATATTTTGGCCTCTTCTATGATGGGGAGATTAACTGGCTGCTGGCACTGCCCTGGAGACCACTCCTCCTGGGCTACTAACCTGGGATGTCTGAAAATCACAGCTATGTTGAGTGCATTATTGATGAGGTGTGACTGGTTCTTTGCTTAGGGGCCCCCGCCTGCACACAGTCTCCAGCCAATTTGTGAGAACTTGCCTTATTTTCTTGATGTCTGCTACACACAATTTTACAACTTGCCCAGTCTGAAAAGTTCATCAGAGATGTTACCTCCTAACTCGGATATTCCTTACCCTCTCAATTATACACAATGGCCTTGACTTACAATCTTACAGTCTAAATCTTGTCCTTTCTAGGGCATTTTTCCCCCTAAGGTATTTTATATCCTAGATCATATTTTTCTTTTTTCTATTGATTTTTGGGTCACACCTATGGGTGATCATGATTATTCCTGGTTATATGGCTCAGGAATCACTTTTGGCTGTGCCAGGGATTAGAACCAGGTTGGCTGCATGCAAGGCAAACACTCTACTCACTGCACTATGTCTCTGTCTCTCCCAGCTCATATTCTTCACATGCATGGCTTAATGTTTTACTGGATTATAAATTTGACAAGACTAGAGCTTTGAATGACTTCATCTTCTTGCTTGCTTTAGGGTGCATTATTGTGCAATGTTTTATGAGTGAGATAATAATAAATGAGGGCTATTGTATATCAATTTGAAATTGTTACAACTTGACTGCAACAATACCAGTTCAGTATATTGCCTCTCCATACATAGTTATCATCTGTAAATTTAGGCTGCAGTAAAGGTCTTACATTTCTCATCCAGGGTGGAGCCAGCAAAAATAAGAACTTCATTTGCATGGACACTGCTGGAATTCATGAACACAGATATGGTCTCATGGCCAATTTTCACATAATAGGGCCCAAGTTCTATTTCAGTTCCATAACACTCATTATAAATAACTGTCTTGAGCATATAGATCCCTTCTGAAACAAAAGGAGAAAGAACAACCTTTAGATTGTTAACAGCAGGTGCAATATTTGATACTTGTTGAATGTTTACAATGTAGCAATGAATGGAAACCAAATCAGTAAATATGATTTTATCTCTGATAGTAACAGAAGTACTGTATGTACCTTCAACCACCCGCAAAATGAGGCTCCACACTCAACAGGTCCAGCATAAACTTTAATGTCCTTTCATCTTAAAATATTTGGTATTTTTAACAAGGTGTTTTTGCACATTATCTGAGAATTGTGTAGGAAATCTCTGCATTAGAAGCCATTCCACAAGGATAACAAGCTGTCAAACAACAGCAATCAACATATATATGTATACATATACATATATATTGTTTTATAGATAAAAACAACAAGAGCAACAACAGCCAAATGGAAGTAATGAGAAAACACTATGCCATATTACAAAATGGCCCAAATCTCTTACCCTGCTTAGCATTCTAATAATATGACTGTATGCCATAATATAACAATGTGACTTTGCAATTCCTTTCCTTAAGTGCTGGATTCTTATTTTTTTTCAGCTTCTAATTAGTAATTGCCTAGTGAAAAAGGATTTGAAAAGTTTTCTTGAATTGAGGTCCTTGTTACTGTTCATGTGAATAAAACTGGCCAGTTGACAGTTTTTCATAGCTCACCATCTGATAACCAGATGATGAGGTTATCTTGAGCCAGATAACCCTCAGGAATAAAGCCAACTGGAAGTTGACTGAAGATGCACAAATATGTCCATCTGAAAACTAGCTCAGATCCAGAGAACTTCCTAGTATAACTATATTGAACAGCTGTGTTTTAGCATACCAAGTTTGGAGTGATTTGGTAGACAACAGATTACCGATATAAATGCACTGAACTAAAATATCTTCCTTCAGTAATTCTCTAATTCTAGTCTCCACACAATATTTTTAAATTCTACATTCAATCTCCTAGCTTTTAAATGTAAGCTGATTTATGTTATATGCAAAATAAAATCCTTAGCTTGGATCCTCACGCTTTAATCAACTGTCACACTTCTTCATCCTGTCTTCCCCATGCATACTCCAGACTCATTGTTCCTTTGCATGCATGTACCATTCTTTATCATTACCCTTTACAGTACATCATCTTCATGGTCTTCAAGTTTCTTATGTCCGACAGATACCTACTCTGTACTTCATTTAGTGACACAGGTAGCAGGGATAACTGTATGTGGCATTCACCACAGATATGCTGCCATGCTTTCTTCCCCTAAGTCACCATACTCTTTATCCCTAACCTCAGTGCAGATCACTGAGCAGATATTGTGTGTGTATCAAATGGTAAAACAAGTAAAGAAGTATGGAAACTGAAGCTCAAAGAATGTAACATGTCCAAGGTAGAAGGGATGTGGATATTTTGGAGTGGGTGGAGACGTCGTGTCACAATTTGTACTCGAGTGACCCATTGCTCAGGAGACAAGATGCTATCATGGTACTGAGCCAGACACGGTCAAAGTAGCCATTTGCAAAGCAAATGTCTAACTTGCTAAAACATCTCCCTGGTAATTTCCAATTATTTATGCATCGCATGCAGTAATTTCTAATTAGCTATTTACTTCATTTTAGGCACTGTGATTAAAAATACTGTTAATGGTGGGGTTTCACTTCTGTTTCCCTCTGTCACTGTCCAAGCGTACCACCCCCCATTCCTGTCTCCCTACTCTTCCCATCATAGAAAACATGACACTGAATACCAGTTCTCAGCCTTTGTTGCCTTTGGGCACTTTTTGTTTCCTTACTGTGTTTCTTTATATGCCACATGCAAGGGAGATCTTTCTGTATCTTTGTCCCTCTCCTTGTGACTAACTCCACACAGCATGATGCTCTATAGGTCCATGCATGCAGCAAATGGCATTATTTCAACTTAGAACAGTTAATCATCAAGTTTGTATGGAAATATAAATCACTTTGGGAGGTATCTCACCACCTAATTTGAAATTGTATTATAAAGCCAATAGTAATCAAAACAGCATGGTACTGGAATAGGGTGACTATCTGATCAATAGGTTACATTTGATTATTGTTATGAGGTTTCATGTCATCTTTCTGCAGGAGTTTAGTGTGTTTTGGGGGCTTGTCCTATCTTAAATTAGTTCATTTAGTTCTTCTTGTAACAATCATTTTGAGTCTATGAAGTTCCTGAACTGTGTTTATCTGTGAAGTTGTGTATTGTCCCCTTAAATCTGAATGAGAGTCTCAAATGGTGAGTAATTCAGTCTACTGAGTATTTCACTACATCCCATCACTGTGTTTGGGCCGGGCCCTGAAGAATTCATCTCATAAGTCCACTGTAAATCTTAGGGTTACTCTTTTATATATAATTTTTATTCTTTGACCTTGATGCTTCAGTATTCTATCCCTATCTATGGTTTTCATCCTTCTTATTAGGATGTGTCTTGATCACTTAATCACTTGACATCCCATTACTCATCAATTTGCTCATGCAGGCACCAATAACGTCTCCATTAGTCCCTGTCGTGTGCTAGTGTAGTCCAAAGACATCTGCTCATTCCAGGAACACAAAGAGCCTTAAACCGATTGTTCAGGGTCTTGACATTTAACTATTCAGTGTAATATGATTTTAAATGGTGAAAGAGTAAAAAAAAAAGAAAACCCCGAAGGCATTGCAGTGGCATCAGGACTCTGTTTCTTCCTCAAGATTGCCACATCTGGGGCTAGAGTGATAGTACAGAGCGTAGGGCATTTGCCTTGTACGCGACCCAACCTAGGTTCGATTCCTAACATCCCATATGGTCCCCTGAGCATGGCTAGGAGTAATCCCTGAGTGCATGAACCAGGAGTAACCCCAGTGCATCACTGGGTGTTACCCAAAAAGCAAAAACAACAACAACAACAACAACAAAAAGATTGCCCCTTCCTCCTCACCCAGGTCAGGAGTCCCACCAACCCCTACCCATGACGCATGTAGCTGCTATACAGCTGCACATTTCTTCACCTGTTCATATCTCACTGTGAGATATAAAGACACCATAACTCTACTCATGTAGATACACAAAAAGACACCTCCAGAAGCCAAAAGTAACACTGGGAAAGCAATGCAAGACCTCACCATGCTTAGTGAATTAAGATAGTAGCCCTGAAGACTCAATTAGTAATAATGAGCTATATAATCTCTTTCATAAGTACTTTAGGGGGAAACATTGAGATCAAATAAACAATGGACTGGATCTAAACAAAAGGAGATGATATGAAAGCAGACATGAGAAAATTACAAACAAAAATGATAGAGCTGAAAAACTTTGTTGGAGAAGCAGATTAACAGCTGCTGAGGAGAGAATTAGCGAGCTCCAAGATTAGGTTCAGAAATCCTCCAAACGCAGTAGAAGACTGAAAAAAAGCTTAAAAATAAACAAAGAGCTGACAAGAGTACTCTGGGATAAATTCGAGTGGAACAATGTAAGAATTATCAGAGTTTCATAGAGCCAGAAATGTAACCCTGATGAAAATGCAACAGTCAAAGATATCATTGGTGAGAAGTTCCCAGAAATGGAGAGTGTATGCACCCAGATTCAGGAGGCCCAATAGTACTAGTGAAAAGACATCAAAATAAAAATACTTCTGTAGCACTGTAGCACTGTCCTCCAGTTGTTCATCGATTTGCTCGAGCGGGCCCAGTAACATCTCCATTGTGAGATCTATTGTTACTATTTTTGGCATATCGAATACCTCACAGGTAGCTTGCCAGGCTTTGCAGTGTGGGCAAGATACTCTCTGTAGCTTGCCGGTCTTTCCGAGAGGGGTGGAGGAGTCAAACTTGGGTCAGCCGAGTCAGCCACTTGCAAGGCAAACGCTCTACCCACTGTGCTATTCAAGACAAATTTTAATCAGAATGATAAGAACCATAGATGGAGATAAAATAATGAAATCAGAAAGATCAAAGAAGGAAATTAATTAGGATTTACAGCAGATTTGTGAAACAAAACCAGAAGCTGTTTTTTCAGAAGCATTCATAAGATGAACAAACCTTTGACTAAACCATAAGGAAGAAAATAAAAGGATCAGAAATGAAAAGGAAGATATTACAACAGAACCTTCAGAAATCCAAGACATCATGAGAGTTTGCTCTGAATAACTCTACTTGGTAAAGTTGTAGAACTTAGAAGTGGACAGGACTCATAAATAAATCTCTAAAGAGATCAGGAAGCTGCAGAGAAGCCTCCAGACCCTGCACCAGTCTAAGTCTCATATCTGGGGCACCCTGAAACTGGAGGTTGAGCCCTCCAGCCACCCAAACAGAAAACCTCCCGAACCCAATTGCCACCAGCCAGATTCTACAGGCTTGGACAAGCCTCATCCGGGAATTAATCTGTTGAAAAACTCAGGTATGCGGGTTTTGTGATCGAAATCTCCAGACTTTCACAGAGTCGGGGATGGGGGACCTTCCCCCATACCCCTGTTCCTCCAGGAGCTTTGTTGTCAGTCACACCCATAAACTGCCTCTGGTACCATATAAGTTCATTAACTGCCTTGATTCAGAGACTCACAACTAAATCTCAAAAGAGAACAGCAAGCTGCAGAGATGCTTCCTGACCCCCAAATCACCATGCAGTTAAAAATTTAGCTCCAGCTGTATCACCCTACTGACAACTTTTAGAATTCCTGGAGCAACACCTCATACTCTACACCACTGATATACCAGGAGTAGCATACCACACTGGATGGAATGTAAAGTAGAAGGCAACCAATTTCGATTAATAAAATGTTAACACACAAGGCTTAACCTGTAAAAAAAATATTAGTAATCTCTTAAACAAGAGTTTAATTGCTTCAGGGTAAGATACAACAATCTTCACACAATTTCTTCTAAGGAAATCTTTTTAAATCATTTTTAGTGAATTAATCATAAGCAATACAAAATAAATCATTTAGAGTCTGCTTGGAGCAGACGTGGGTGGTGGCTGAGAAAATTGAAAATAATGGTGTTGGGAA